CAAGGAAGTGCCCAGCCAGGCCAGCGGCCTGGGCCATGCTTGCTTCATCACAGACATCTATCATAAATAGAGCTGTTACAGGCAAACAATGGCCCAACTGCCTAGGGGAGGCTGGTGAGCAGAGTTTAATCTACTCAAGATAAGGAAGGAGCTTTCATAATGCATGGGTTTGATTTGCACAAATATTGAGACTGTTCTTTGCATTAATGATAAAGTGGATTAAATGTGCCCCATTTTCCTAGTTAATGCCCCTCCGGAGTTTCACTGGGACCAGAGCAGATCTGGCATTTAAACTAAAGAAATCCCTGTTTAGTGTGTGGGAGTCTCTGGAGAGGCCACAGATCTGCATTGCAGCTGTGAAATACAGCATCTCCTCTGCTGCTTATCAGAGACCTGTGCTTCTCCTGGGAAAATTTTGCCCAAAGGATTCAGCCCTTGCCAAATTTTCAACTGGATTTTGTTTGTTTATTTTACATTTCTTCTTAAACATCTGAAACCAACAAACTTAAAACCTGCTCTAAATCTATCAACTAGAGTTAATTCCTTAGGATAAAATAATAAACCAATTAATTCCTCCAGGCTGCCAGCTTCTATTTGTAAGACTTAGTCTAAAATGGATTTAAATGATGAAATTCTAAACCCTGAAAAAGATTGAGTTTAATTGAAAAGAAACAATGTTTTTTCTCTTCTCCTGTGGTACAGCTCCTGTTCATGGTATCTGATTCACGTGGATTTTAAAAGGGCTCATATCAAGCATGCATGTGCAAAATGCTGCTCTTCTGACCTGTGTACTGAGTTTGCAGTGACAGGGTATGTATGTACCCGAGGAATGAATCATGTAGAACCAGCTCTGCCTCATCTTCTCCCCAGTCAGTCCTCCTGGAGAGCTTTTCCCACATATATGCTCTCCTCCTTCTTCTTCTCTATACTCATTTATCATGTAAAAAATCAGGGCAGAGATGGAGCCACATATTTTAGGTCCAGAACAACCTCTAATTTTTGTGAGGCTCCTACTGTGCTGAAAGGCAGATTTTTTATATGATGCTACATAGACCCTAGAGGTGTGTCTGCTTACGAATGCGGTTACATCTCCTCATCTTCAGGGGTGCTCCAAGCAAGTGGGTGGGCTGGGCTCTATAAATAGTGTGTACTAATCCATACTCCATTTTGTAGAGAGGCATGGTAGAAAACACACAGCTACAATCTATTCAGGGAATTTGTTAATATTAGAACCTTAGGGAGCAGCTCTACTTACATCACAGACATCTGTTTGTTGGAAATATCAGTTCAATAAACAGTCTTCTCAGCCTCAGTATTTTAGCAGTACAGGCATTACAAATGAGGATGATGTTACAGTCCTTTCCAGTCCTAATGCAGGGTCGTTCTCCCCAGTACAGAGGTGTAGGTCCACAGCTTTTTCTTATACCTGCGCAGTACAGAGACATCTGCAGCACATGAAACACGTGGGTGCCAGCAATCTTAATGAACCCCCAAAGTGAAACCTCAAAAAAGTGCACTTCCCAAGGACCCAGATAGGACTCATATTGATCTCTGAAGGTGTTAGGTGGAGATCATGCAGTATATCTCAGCAACAAATGCGTTTGGCCTGGAAAAAGCTTCAGCTGCATGTTTTGAACGAGATCTTTTTGCTTTGGAGAGAGCTAATGATCTGTAAGCACTGGCCCCATGTCATCATCTGGGATCCTGCTGATGGTGGTAGCTTACAGAGCTGTCTGATGTCATGTATGGCCAAAAATGGAGAATCTCAAGTTTCTACCTGTTTCTGGTGGCTATCCAGGGAATATGGTATTCACCAAGGAGGATGGTGAAGGGAAACAACCCTCTAACATGAAGTGGGTTCTGGTGTTTGTATCTATATGCAGTGTATACAATGGCTATTGTCTTTGAAGAGCTTTGTTACCTGTCTCATTACCCTGGAAAAAGACTTTGGGATATTAAATAGAGAACAATCAGTCCCACTAACAACAAATAACCCTCTAGGAAGTAAACACAGTAAAAGAGTTATGCTTGTCTTAGCAGATGTTGCTGGTTGATAAAATCTCATATTCAGAAGTTATTGAATATGTAGACCTTTTCTGGAACTATTAAGAGAATATGCATGTGATGGGGTAAACGATGAATATGATTTAGCTTTAAAAGATCTGGCTTTGTAACAGTACGTAACTCTAAAAAATATATTTCACCTTACATCCAGCACGGTACTGTACTATGCTAAATTCAGGCCCTGGCTCCAGCTAAAACACTCAGAATGTCATGATGTGCTGTTTGGGGCCAGCTTGCTGTAGAGGAAATCAACACTCACAGCTGGATGCAGACCCAGAGTCCCCATTCTCCTGCTGGTGGGAGCAGTATTTTTGCCCTACTTGTTTGACTAGGAATGAATGGGACTGGTTTGGTTTTCTTCCAGACCAGCTGTACTTAGCTTCATTACAAACTTCACCATGCACTGTCCTTTTCCCTGCCTTATCTCCCCTCTCCTTCAAGGGCAATGCTCAAATGCTAGAGGGGTGCTTTTGCTGGGAGCTGTTCTGAGCTAAGAGGACAGGCCAAAATGACCTTTCCTCCTGCTTGGTGTTTCAAACAGCTTCCGCCCGCGGGGAGAGGATGTATGGAGAATGTGTGAGAGAAAACACTGAAAAGGGAGAAAAAGCACAAAAAGGGAGGGGGAAAAAAGTACAGCAAGAAAGCTAGAGACAAACTTCCAGTTGTGGATTGGTTCTCACCCAGGCTCTAATTAGGAAGCCTCTTATGGGACTGTGAAGCTGTCAGGCTGCCAAATGTCAGCATGTTTGTCGGAGATCAGGCAATTCTCCTGTCTGCAGCAGCTACAGTTTGGTGCCATGATCCTCCTGGGTTCTTCCAGCATGTGTGACTCACACTCAGCACTGGCACCGGGGTAGCAGTGAAGGGCTTGTCATTTTCCCTAAGAATCCAGAAATAAACCTTCTTCTGGGATTTGATCCCTTCATTCTGGTTGTGCACAGAGAGGGTTAACCACAGGGTGAAGAGCTGCTTCAGCAGTGTGTGACTCGGATTCCCAGGGAAATCCCCAGCTTATCTGATGGAGCCTGTTAGTCTGCTAATTGAATAAGCTCCTATTAAAACTGCAATGTTTTTTAATGACTGCTAACAAAGGGCCAGATTCTGATCTGATCTTTTCTCTTGGGCTCATTTTTGCTGATGGTCCAGCCCTGCACCTGATTGCAGGGTGGGAGGCCAGCAGCTGCTTCCCCAGAGCCTAGTCTTGCTCCAGAGCGGGTACCTGAAACCAAAGCCTCAGCTCTAGGGCCTTCCTGGTGCAGTTGAGTTACCAACTGAGCTTCAAAACTTCACTTTTAATGCGCCAAGGATTCATGTAGTGTAATAGGCAGGAAGCTTTTAATGGAGATCTTTAGGAAGAGGGAGAAGGCTGCAATGCAGCCAGCAGAGGAAAGCATTTGCTGGGAGACTACAAGGACTCCATGTAACATAATTGCTGGAAATATCTAATACATGATCCAAGCCCTGCTCTGAGTAATTAACTTTCCCAGTGTTGAAATCAGGTTGATTTGTTGATTCTGCTTATAAGATGTTGTCTATGTCTGCACAGAAAAAATGCTGTGTGTGCCTCTGCATATGCACATTCAAACCTTAATTTTAATTAAAATTATGTGCATTATATATGTATCTCTTTTTCTCTATGGGAATTGACTTTGTGAAGGTATTTGCCTAATAGGAAAAGAAAAAACTGTGGTTAGTATTTAAAGTGAACTTAGCTGGGTTCCAGGGTACTTCAGAGGGAGAGCCTAGCAGCTCTGATTTCAGCCAGGCCCTGCCCTCCCCAGGATGGGGGTTGAGCTCTTGCATGACCCTGTGAACACATTTGCCTTCCTCATCTCACCTGAAATTCCCAGTGCGTACCCCAAGCCTGTGTGACATCAGAGCCATGAAATGTTTTCTAATATAATCATAAGGAGACTTTGTTTTTTCTTTAAAACCAGGAATGAGATCTGGCCGCCTTTACCCCCATGTGCATCCACACCTACTCAGTTCCTTTGTGTGCCCCTTTTGGTTTCCTCTTGGGAATGTTTCTATTAACATGCTTCTTGTAGAAGGTCCCACGTACCCACACCAACACTGAGCTGCTGCTTGAAAAGTTTCATAAGCAATCCATAAGTGGTGGGGTTTTTCCTTACGATAACAATAGCGAAGCGTCAAAGATTTGAACCTCCTGTTATCAGCAGCAGAGCCTAAACGCCGTTTCTCAGCCCGTTTCGTATCCCCACTCCCCAGCTATCAGATGCTGTGACACGGCTCCATCACACCACGACTTGCGGTCCCAACAAACAGAAAATGATTTCCAACCGGCAAACACGCTGTTTACTTTCCAGACGAATTGCACTTTCCCATCTGACAGCTGATCAAGGGATCTCCCGCTGCTGTCAGCATGGAGAAGTGTTTAAACACAGGGATGGAAGTTAAAACATTTTCTCATTATCACAGAATAAAAAAAAAAAATAAAAAACAAAAATAAAAAACCCTCCCCAAAATAAAGGCATTGAGGCTCGGGGCCCCCTGCTGTGCCGGTAATGAAGCGCTGCCACGTGACCCACTGGCGGGGGCTTTTATCTCTGCCCCAATATCATTACTGAAGTGACACCTGTCACATGACCCACATCAGGGCTTTCATCTGGCCTCCCCAAATGCAGGTCTAGCTTGTGAGGGGGATTTTCCTGCAGCTTTCCCCCCCACCCCTTTAAAGAGCATTGACCACTTGCGCTGTTACAGGCATGGTTTGCAAGTATTAAAGCTCTTGTGTTTTTTCTTGGGGATGTCATTTGGCCGACAAAGTTGGCCTGGGCTGAAGAAAAACAGAATCTTGTCCTGGGAAAGAGGTTATTTCATTTACTTCAAGATGTTTTTACAGCAAATATTTAAGTCTGCTGTTAAACTCTCTTTACATAAAAAGGGATGCTAAAGGATTTCTCAAAAATCTCAGATTTGTTTGTAATTTTTTATTAGGTGGTGAGAAGAAACAGTTTGATGACCCTGGAGCACAATGATCTCCATTTACATGCACTTCATAGACTCTCACCTATTTTACCAGCGCATACTGCCTCTGCCAAGAGAAAGTTTTATGGAAAAAAGGAAAGGTCAGTCCTGCACCTCTTTGCCAATGTCTGGGATTTTTTGTGAGGTCTTCAACAGCAAACACCTCGATTTGCAATGGGCCCACATACACAACAGCAGTACTGAGCACTTACTTGCTAGAACCCGTTCAGTTATTACCTCAAAACAGAACATCAAACATCCAGATGTGACAGGGGATGACCACCCACATGAACTAGATGTGAGCAGGCTGGAGATAAAGGAGCCTGATCATCATGGCTTTTTCCTGCTCCTCCTTTCCCACTCTACGCTCAGCCATGCATGAAGTCTGATACTTCTCTGACCCCTTCATAACCTGATTCAGCTCAGTAAAGCAATGAAAAACTAACTCAGCAAAAGAATTAACAGCTTTCTACCTGTTTAGTGAGTTAGATCAGTTCATCAAGGGCTTAGAAAAGTGCCAGAGAGCAAGAGGGAAAGACTGTGAAGCTTGAAGCACAGAGGGAAATGAGGGAAGCAGGACCACCTTTTTGGGTGGCACAGACTTGGTACATGAATTCAGATGTTTCTTTTTACCTAATCTTCTTCACTCATTACAACACTATGTTCATTTGTTGCCCTTGAGATTGTGCAGGCCAGGGGATGGAAAATGTACTAAGTACTCTTGATGTGAATAGTGCTCCTGTTACTCTGGGGGAGTAGTGGTTCTAGGGCAATTTCTCTCTCTGATCTGGCATATTTAAGGCATTGGGCCTCGAGTGTTGGTTTAATGAACAGAAGAGTGTTGGGTTGCAGGGCATCCTTTTGCCAGGGTCTTTCTGGCTTTCTGCCCCTCCATGTAACAGAGCTAGAATATATCATTTGACTCTTTGGCAGTTTAGTGTAAGAATTTTGGAATATGGGGTAGCAGCTATGTAAAAGAGCAAAGCCATTCTCTCTTCTGCTCCAGGACAGAAGACATCTATAACTGGTGGTCTGGATTGACACCATGGGGAAAGTGATTCAGATCTCGTCATTAGATCCCTTACTGTCTATGCATAACTAATCCTTTAATGTAACATACCTCAAGCATTTAGTGGCTCCCAATTAGGAGCAGACATCCAGCCCTTGGCAGGCATTAAAGATCCTGCTTCTTCACTGCTCTTAGCCCAGCCATCTCCAAGAGTGCTAAAGGAATGCAGAATACCTTGTCTCAACTTGGGCATCACTTACAGCCTTTCTGAACACGCATATGACAATGCACCATAACTCAGAAGTGGAGAGCTATCTTCTACCTATGTAGCCAGGCAGCCACTTTAGAAAAGCTTCTTTATTGTACCAGTTCTTAGAATCTTTTGCAATGCAACAGCCAGTGCCAGTATGCTTAAGAATTCTTGGTTTCCTTTTAAAAAGGTTCCAAATGCCCTTCTCTCCACAAATAAACCTGCACATGGGATGCTGACAAAGAGACACATGCCTAAGTAGAACTCTATAGGATATTCCGGCCTGATCTTGCTTAAACTGCTGTGAGGTCACTGTAATATTACTTCAGATTCATTGCAGAGCAAATTAGAGGCAGAAGGTCCTAATACTGAGACAGATTTCTGTTCAGTACTGCAAAGGGAGGTCAGGCATTCACACTCACTTTGACAGTGGCTGATGTTTGGGAGATCTGGGTCCACACAATCCAGATGTGGAAAGACTTGGGGACATAGCTCTCCTTCTTATCAAGGCAGAGAACTTTGAGGACTGTCACATAACACAAGGAATACCTCCTGTTCTCTTCACTGAGCAGTGCCTGCAGATAATCCATGTGCTCTTTTATGTATCTAATCTATATGTTCCTGAAATTATGTCTATTGCAAGGGCAAAGGAGAACACAAAAGTGTGCCCAGATCTGTAGTGTTTGGTTAGCCAGAAATGGACTTGGGTGGGTCTGGAAGTGTAGCTCCCTTACACTGAAATGACACCTTCCAGCTCTTTCTATGGCTGCCACCTATTTATCTGATGTTTCCCCATAGCTCCATGACTGATTTGTTCCAGTGCCTCAATGATCTGCATAATTCTTGCTCAGAGAAGTTCTCCCAGTCATGCCAGTGACACTACTCAGATGAATAAGAAGTATTCAAGAAAGTTTGCATCCCTGCACCTTAATGATTTATCTTTGCCTTCTTCTTCTTCACAGATCTGCTGTGAGGTTACACCAAGGCTTCTGTCTTGATGTCCCAGAGCCCAGAAAAAGTATCCCAGATATCTGAAACCAAGCCGACTAGCACTTGAACACAGTAAATTGCCTGCTTTCCTAATTCCTCCAGGAAGAATGCTGTAAGAAATTTCACAGTAACTGTAGTTGGGGAAGAGCCCTCTGATTTCCCCATGTATCCTGATCAGCACTCACCTCAGATTAGCTTTCCTTCTCATAATCCTTCAGCAGACCTAACATCAAGGAGAGGAAATCACGCCAGTAACTCATTAATGAGCCAGGACTTTCTGCAACAGTTGGACAAAAAATGGCCTGTGTTTGGCTGCATCTTAGTTCTTTGCCATCTCCCCTCTGTTCATCAACACCTGCACACATTTGGGACCCAGTATAAGAAGACCCCTGAATTCAGCTCTAAGCAACCAGTCTGCAATGCACACGCCTAATGCTCTGCTGGTGTGGAACCAGTATGCTGGTAATCCTGTTAGTAATGGCAGAAGCTCCCTCTAGGAAATTATAACAAATAGTCCTCAACAATTCCTTTGTTGACAACTTTATCCAAGAAACCGTCTTCCCTGGAGACTTCACTCAACTTTTGACTAATCCCCTCCTTCCCTCAGGAGCTCTTTTGTTGAAGGAGATTGTAGGCAAACCCCAGGAATGACAGGTCTCTGTAAGCCTTGGATCAGCCTCTACATTCTTTCAATTGTCAGTCCCCATCTGTCCTGTTTGTACACCAATCTTCTGGACCAGGGATCTCTCTATTAAGTGTCACATCATTGAGTTTATTCTGCAAGTCTAGTGTCCAGACTGTGCTGTTACATCTTCGTTGCCAAGTCAATCTTTGTGACATTGCTTTCTGAAAAACAAAAGGCAGGACATCTGCACAATTTAATTCTCTTCTACTGAAAGGTGATTTTAAAAAACACTCCCTTCTCCCTGAGCAAACTCTGTCCTTTTTTTTTGTCCTTGTGTACTCTCAAAGGTTTTGTTTCATTTTGTCAATATTAAGAATTATTTCAAAGATCCTTGCTGTAAGGAGGCTAGAATCTACCCCTGTTGCAGGGAATTTTGTGAAGATAAAAATCCATGGCCTAAGTGCTGAATCAAAATGAAAAATAAATTCTAATTAAAAATATTCTGCAGGGCTAGTGCCTTCAGTTACTTTGCTTGCTAACAGTTTAAACAAGTTCGAATCTTTCTGTAGATTCATCTACGCTTGGCCAGTGCAGTAGCACATACATATAAGAGGCCCTGTGATTTTTATCTGCATTTTGATAGGCAGCATGAGAATGGAAGCAGATTCCAACAATCCATACATTCTTCCTCAACAGGTAGAGGGAAAGAGGTAGAATAGCATAGTAAATGGACTGTATGTCACCCTGAGATAGACACCTGGCACTCTCTTTCCTTCCTGAAACCAGAAGGAGAACAAGGAGAAGACTGACTGTGTTTTGTCCCTTGCTGTGTTGCTCAGGGCCTATGGATTCCTGATGGAGCCTGGTATGTTTAGTTTTTTGGCTTTGTCTATTTTTGTAACTTAACTCAGGTTGGCCAATGAAGGAAGGCTGGCCAGTTTCATTATGTTCCCAGGACATTCCATTCCCTCATGTGTCAGCATGAGGCTGTTGTGCTTTAGATGCCTATCTACCTCTGATTAGATTTGAAAAAGCAGACAGAACCCCCTGCTTTCCATTGGTAGCCTATTAAAATGACAAAAAAAAATTACTGTTTCATTTATAACCTTGCTTACATGTCTGAATCCAGATGGCTTTTATAAGAAGCGAATTAATAACATGAACACCATCACTTGTAGAATGTTTTGCTGTAATGAAGTGCAGAAGAAGACTTGAATTGACATTTAAGCTTGTTTAGTACATTTTTTTTAAGCAGCATAAAAAAGGGACACAATCACTTTCAGGCCAAGTTAATATTAAAAAAAAAAAAAAGTTTAATAAGAGTATCTCCTACTCTTTTTATGCTTTCACTATTTTAAGTTAAGTATTTGTGAAATACTCTCAAAATCAGTTAAAACTGGTCAAATCCAGATTCACTGAACTGAAGAATGAGTGCCCTCCTCAAGTGAGTTGTCCCAGAATCCTTAGTGGAACTGACAACCAGCTTTTTGGCAGGATTATTTCCTCTGTGATCACAGAGAGGGAACAGCTGCCCTGTCTGCACTTGAGCAGGTGAGCAGGGGATGTATTCAGGCTGCCTCTAAAACCCAGTCTGATCACAGGGCTGGCAGTGTCAGGTCCTTCTTGAAAAGACTGGAGGCTGTCCTGTCTGCCTGCTGTTGTCTATGTGATGAGGGCAGATGGGGTAGAAAGGCTGTGAGACCAGGCACTGAGTGCTGGGACCTGATCCTGTAGCAGGTACATCTACACGCATCTGAAAGCGCAGAGAGGTAGCTGAGGTTTGCCCTGTTAGCACAGCTTAGGTTGCCTCTTAGCTTGGCAGAAAATTGGACAGTCAAGCTAATTTGACCTCAAGATCAGTTTCCAGGTCTGCCCTGCAAACACAGACCCAGGCAGTGACACTGACTGGACACATGCTGTTAACAAATGCACAAAGTAAACAAAGAGGTAGGATATAACAGAAGGATATTTCTTTCAATAATGTCAATAATTATTTCAGCAATTTCTTTCAATAAGAATGACTTTAAGTGATCTTTTGGTCCTTCTGTAGCAGGAGATGAAAAATGTTGATGCTGAACCATTTTTCTGAGGTATGTTGTATTAAAATGATGATTAATTAAAACCAATGATGTTAATGAGCTAAAGAGATTTTGCCTAGCTCTGCTCAGGTTCCACTGTGTGTGAAATCAAAACAAGTAAGCTATAAAATGTGAACTCACTAGACAAGGACAAAGGCAAACAAAACAATCTGGTCAGTTTAAGCAATGGAGAAATGAAGCAATGTTTTGACTGGGGAGGCATCAGAGGAGACATCCATCTGAGTCTTGGAAATATGATGAAACAAACCCAAACCTCCCATGATACCACCAAGCACTGTGGGCCATTGGCTTGCTGATCTTTGAATGTAAGATTTCCCACTTTGTCCTCAGCCTGGGATGTGGTCATCCAGCCCTGGGCATCAGTTCTGTTTTCCCACCTTCAGTATACAAAGGAATTCATGTGCTAAGGATAATGGCAGCAGCTTTGGCAATGGCAACTGTGTGCTTACCAAAGAGTTAGTTAATCATCTCTGCTTTCCACCAAAACTTGCTTGAACTTGAGATGGCCTTTTTGGTAAGAAACAAAAAGGTCACAGATTTCAGGTTGCAGTCTCACTCCTGGAACTGTGAGCACTGATTGTCCGGCAGAAAAAGCAGATTAAAGAGAAAGCTGCAAAATGATCCTTTTCCTTCACTGTGCTACTTTCCTAATGCTCTCCTGTGACATTAGCCACAATATAAACTCATTCAGGATCCTATTTCTCACAGCTCCATTCCTTCTGCTTGTTTTGGGAAATGATTTCTTTAATCTAGGCATCCTTCTCTAGAAATCTCATCCATGTGAGGTTTTTTTTTCCTTTTTCTTGGAGCAACCAGCAAAATACTATTTGGTAGAACAGTGGTAGGAATGTAACCCGCTAATCAAAAGGATTCAAATGGATCTACACACTGCCAAGCTCTCTCCTTCCCACCCAGTGGAGGGGGAAAAAAAAGAGAAAGAAAAAAGAGATAGAGCTTCTCTCCTTCAGCAATCTCACAAATGCAAAACCTTCCACTCCAGTGACTCCTCATTAACTTACCAAATCTGACAGTCTAATTATCGTAGCTGCTTCACTCTTAGAATAAATAAATACTAAAGTGGGTGTTTAAAGAAATTGAGCAGTGAAATTCAGTCATCTAGACAGTCAATAGAGAGTTTATTTTAAATTTTTATATTCTTATGTATTTATATCATTTTAGGAAAGATAATGAGATAGTTGTCTTTCAGGCTAATTGAGTTCCTAGGCTCATGGTTGCTTGCTGTCACAATCTCAAACTTAGCTTTAACTTTTGTGCCTTAGAAATCTGATCACTACATCCCCATTTGCTTTTTTCTGCTGATAACTGGGTGAAGGCAGAAGTGCACCTGAGGATGGGAAACGGCTACATGAAAGTTCCAGTCTGGATGTCTTTCACAGCACACAAGACAACTAAATCTTCTCAGATTAGCATTTAAGAGCGTCAAAGGGAAAATGGAAGTTATAGAAACCTCAGATATAACTTGCAATTAGACAAAATACAGAAAAACATCTGCTAACCTCTGATGCAATAGCGTCTGCCTCCATGAGGGTATTAACAGCACTCCTTCCCAAGAGCAGTTCATCTCCCTGAACAATAAGACCTTTATAGAGATTCTCTGGCCTGAGATCAATGGGAGTCAGAGTATTTGATCCATGTCTGTAGGACTTTGTTTCCACAAGTCATGTGGGCCGAACTTTGCGCCAGTTGTGCTTTTGCAAGAGCATGAGCTGGGTAGTGAGCAAAGGAAACCATCCTTCTTTTCCCATCTTCCCTTTCACCCTGTGCTTCTATACAGGGCCCAGCATGGCTTGCTCCAGGCCAGTGCCCAGGGATGAGCTTGAACAGGGCAACATCTCCAGAGGCCTGTGCCCTTGGCACACATCTGCTGTGATGTTGTGATGCATCTTTCCCAGGGTGGTGGCTTAATGACAGAATACAAAACCTCAGTGCCCTGTCAATACTTTTAAGCAGACCTTCTACCACTGTGGAGATCAGGCCAGGTGAAGTGAAGGGTATTTTTCCTGAGTTAAGTGAAGATTTGCTTTATCACTTGACAAAAAAGACTGCTTCTGGGTCCGGAGTGACAGCTGATTTGCTGCTCAACACCAACTGTGGTTTATTCCCTTATTAAGACACAGATTCATGCATCTTGTGGGAACTTCTCTTTCTAGGTGTCCGTATCTGATTTACAGTGAAGGATATCCATTTGCTGTATACAGAGGTGGCAAAGCATAGAGGAAAAAATATTTAAGTGACTATATAAACTTTTTAGCTAGGTAGGAAAACCTAGGCAAACCAGCCAACCCAAACAAGGTGTCCATGAAAGTCAGCTTTTCTTTAGATGTGCCCTGTGGTAACACCTACCAGCGCTGGCTAATTCCAGCAGTAGTAAGGATTTTTAGAAAGCAATGGCTTACAGCCTTAACCTCCTCATTGCCTATGATTGCTTTGTATTAGTTTAGATGCAACAGGCATGAAAATGACAATGCTCTGTGAGCACCAAACCTCCCTCCTCCTGCTTCTGAAAAGCTGAATAGCGGGCTGTTTCAGGAGGAAGGCTACAGTGCTATCACCACCTGGTACTCTGGTTTTGAACTGCTGGGAGCAGGTAACAATCAGAGACCAACCATACCCAAAAAAGCAGCAAGTCCCTCCTAGTCAAAGCCAGGATCACACCCGTGCCGCACACTATCCTCCTCACAGAGCACAAGTTGGCCTTGACTTGATGACTAGCTGCTAAGCCAATAGTATGCCTAGAGTCAAATGTCTCCTGAACTGTGAGAAAGGTCAGTCCTGAGCCTGGACATCGGTCCAGTGGGGATACGATCTGAGAAGCCAGCTCAGGCCTCCCTGGCCAAAGTGCCTGAGTTGTTCGGTCAGAGCTCTTGCAGTGTTTTCTTGGAAGCTCACTGGTGCTAACCCTAAATCCCACTGCTCACCCTCCCTACTCGCAAGTCTACTCTGAAGCATTTGTGGGCAAAAGAGAAGGAAAATAAACCAAATCTAAAAGTAACAATAATAAGCTGCAATTGTCACTGTGTCTGACTTGTCTGACAGCAGTGAGATACCTTCTCAGAATGCCCTTTGCACTTCAGGACTGACACTGAGTTGAGAGCATGGCTCATGCTTTCTTGATTCAAGGATCTCACCTTTCTTCCAGGAGTGATTAATTGGACAGAAAACATTCTGCTTTAGCAGGTGGCAAAGGGCTACACTGAAGTTTTATCAGAGCTGTTGTAGTGCAGGGCTGCACTACACAAAGATAATTGTCTCAGGATTGGCTGACAGCAAATGCTCCAGTTTTACAAAAGGTCATCACTGCCACCCCTCAGGCTAGTAGTCACAGTGTAAAGAAGATAGAGATTCCCCCGCTCCTGTCCTCTGTTGCTATATCCAGAGGTACTGGTGGCATGTGCACAATTAAGGCCACCAAAATGGTGAATAGAGTCTTAACCTGGGCCTTACTAGCCTTTTCTGGCCCTAGAGGCACAGGAGAGAGCAGCTGTAAGAGAGGCCCCTCTGCAGACCAGCCCCACTTAGGGCACAGAGAGCCTTCCTCTCTTACAGCATGGGTGGTAAGCAACATATAAGCATATGAGCTTAAGCAAAAGCAACAGCAACCTGTTCCCCTCAGCAGGAGCTGACTACTGGGAAGCAAAGAGCCTCATGCTCCCTCTCGTCCTTCCCAGGGGCAGCACCCAGCTTCTACCATTAGCATTCCCCTCTGTATTCAGAAACATGACATTTGGAGGGGTACTTATTGAAACACTGTTTTCTCCAATTACTTTTTTTTCCTAGGAATAGACCTTTGAAAAACATCCCCTAGCATCCAGCTTGTCTTAGCAACTTATAAAAAGAACAGTAATGGACAAAATTATTTCATAAAAATAGAAAATAATTTCTTACTGGAGCCTTTTATTTTTCCCAATATTGTTTCCTTCTTACTCTCTCACACACCTTGGGATCAACCCCCTCTTCCTTTTACCTTTCATCTCCAGCTCATTCTTAGCCCTTCTGCATTAACTTCCTCCTTCAGAGGATGGGGACTAATAGCCAGCATCCTCCAGAACAAAGTGGGGACAGTATATATATATGAAATCTGCACTGTGTTATCATAGAAATGAGTATTTTAAGGTGATACAGTGTAATTCCAAAATAGCCTGATGCCAAAGTGGCAGAAAAGAACCCATGTCTTACACGATTATGGCAATAGGGATGGCTACATGGAGAATTATTCAGAATTGCCTAATTTTTACAGGCTTAATGAGTCACTCATGAATATGGTCTTGCATGATCATACCGTACTTTTTTTCAACCCTGTGCACTTTGATTCTGCTCCCAGCATACTGGTTGCTATGATAACACCATGCAGTTTCCTGTCCACAAGGTACTTCTTGCCGCAATGTGAGGGATAATAAATATGGGATGGTGCATAAACCCAGGTGAAGTAAACCTGTCCCCTCTCTGCTAGCATGTTGGAGAGATTGACACATTATGCCAATCTGTTTTCTCATTCCTTCTATTTCTCCTCACTCTCTCCCTTTCTCTCACACTGTCTGTCTCTGTACCTGTTTTTTTTCCACACACTCTCTCTCTCTGTTGGCACTGACGCTTTCATCTTCTCCCTTGGGGATTGGAGATGTCACTGCGGGAAGTGCTTGTCCGCCTCTCCGGCAGCAGCAGAGCCCTGTGGCTTTGACAAACCTCATTTAATTGGGAGGAAGCCAGGAGGGTTTGAAAGAACTGAAACATCCACGAAACTCCTTTTATCAGGCATAATTTAAACTCTGCATGGAAAAAACCCTATATGTATAAAGAAAAGTCAACTTCCCTCCTGCTGTGTGTGCTCCCCTCCTCCCCCCGCGGCACAGGCAGGCTCCTGCGAGATTCCATCTTTTCATTTTTCTAAAAGTGTCAAAGTAGATTTGTGCTCTGTGGCTGGGTGAACAGAAAAGGAATGCAGATGTCTCTCACTCATGCACATACACATACAGAGCACCTTCTGAAGGGCAGCGGTTTGGGAGAGATGCTAGCTTGCTGCTCCTTCACTTGGGATGTGTCACAGGAGCCAGAAATTAGGTTTTCAAATAGCTCGACAACACACTCCAAGAAGGCTTCTTAATTGCTCCTGTCTTAAAAAAAACACACCAAACTAACTAGTGTAGTGGGTGCCCAGGAGGCAACAGGGAATGCTATGCTCTTTGGACTGTTGCCCAATAAGAGGGAGTTTTGCCTAGTGAAGACCAGAGCCTGTAGCTTGAGAGACCCTGTATTTATTATCAGCTCAGGGCAGAAGAGGCAGACCTGTGTGTATGCAGCTGTGTGCTTACAAGACAGCAAGGGAAGAAGAAAATAAAGCAGGTAAAACTGAGGGAGGACTGATGCAACAGGGTATGAGGAACAGCTGTTGTCTCTGAACATCAAAAGGGAGCAGTCCAAGGGAATTGGGGCTAGCACATCATGCTGAGCAGCTGGGAATTCAGGACATCAGGAGGGACCAGCATGTGTGTTACACTGAATACACAGTGTGAACGAGCCCAAGGGAAAGCTCTGGGCCCCTAGGGTTACAGAATGGGGGAGAAATGAGCTGTGAAATCACATACACCTCCACTTTCTAAATGTACCATGGAGGCACGCCATCCATGTCCCTTTCTAGTATTAACACAGTGGTTAAGTGGAAGAAAACAGAAAAAGAAGCTGATAAATTTGCAACGGAATGTAAACTTTGCAGCATACAGGAGTGGGGAGGGAGGGCAGGCAGATGCCCAGGTGAATGGCACAGACTTTCAAAATAACCAGAAACTCACAATAAATAGCATGTGAAGTAGCTCTTAGTGAGATGGAACTGAGTTAACTTACCAGCAGGAACCTCATATTGCTGAGGAGGCAGAGAGCTGAAGAAACCATGAACAAGTGCATCTTGTGCAGAGATCCGGCCTTGGGGGAAGGCTTTAAGCATCCTGGAGGTCAAATCCTCCACTGCTGGCACTTTGCTCAGCCTAGGAAAACAGGACAAAAAAATTAGGATAGGAGGTGAGCATAAGCCAGAAAGCTGTAACCAGAATTTGACCCAGCCCTTCTCAGATCCTGAGACAGATAGGGGAGTGACATAGGGGAGCAGGCTAAACCGACCCCAGCTATATAGTTTTCCAGGACATTTGCTTTTCTGTGTGAGTTTGGTTATATTGGAGTACATGGATAAAGGATTTCAGCACATACTCATGCTTTCAGAGGAGTTTTGAAAATAAATGGTTATTTTGTAAAAGAAAGTTGTAAGAAAAAGGGAAAATGCTGCTGAGCAAATTATATTTTATGTGTCATAACCAGAATATCCAAGGTTGGTGTTACCAGTTTAGAGCAACAGTGCAAGTGCACAAAACAACCTGACTGGCCCAGTGAGCAGACCAGAGGTCAAAACTAAGAAAAAAATAAAGAAAATGCCATTTCCCCTCTTTCTTCCCTAGTACCAGCCATGCAGCTGGCTTTAGAATACGTTGGGATTCATGGAGATGAATCTGTTTCTCAGGATGAGTGCCTAAAATAGATGTAATACACACATGCTCCATGCCCAGCAATACCAGTGCCAAGTGGCTGCTTTCTAGAGGAGCACACAGCTGGGGACAAGGAAGTGGAAGAGAGAAAACAAACCAACAAGGAAACAAATAAAAATAGTAATTTAGTTTTACAGCTCCTACTTTGTTTGTTTGTTTTTTCTGATCATGTTTCAGCATCAGGAGGCCCATCAGAGCATGGCCTGTTGTGCTTCCTCCCTTGGCCCCCACTGGTGCTTCCCCTCCAAGCGACATCAGGCACCGGGATCCCCCTGCCCCTGCACTCCCCCTCGCTACACAGGACATTTGACATGCTGACATTTCTGTTTTGAGGAGATAAAATGTAAAACAAAAGGAAGGGGAAAAGCATAGAGAAATCCTGAGAAACAGATTTATAAAAGCTACCTGGCCTCACTGTTGTATGTAACTGCTGAATTCTCGCCTCCAGCAAAACAGTTCAAGCCCCTGCTGCCTTGCGGAGCAGGGACTGGACAGGGAGCCAAAGCATCCAGCCAGAGGCTGCTTGCTAGAGCTGCACATCACTGGATGTACATCACTGTAGGCTGCTACTGGAGACCCTCTGCCCCTTCTGTCCTGTTGCTTCAGGCTCCCACATTGGGCAGCAACATGGTTCAGTGCTTCCCATCATGGCTCAAGGCTTCTTGCTGGTGGCTGAGCTCTGCGCAGAGCTCCCTTTTGATTTCTTAATTGGCCATGGAGAGTCATGGCTGATTGGTCTGTATGAAGCAGTTCTTTCCTTCTCAAGAGCTGAGCATGCCAAGGCAGCCGTTTGATCACAGTGGTGTAAGGAACCTGTAATGCAGAGTTGGAGCTGGCCGACATGCAGCCCAGGGCTCTGCTGCAGAGGAGAGCCTGTGGGTATGGGGCTGTTAATGGGGCCTGTCAGGGGATTATGGCCAAAACCCAGAAGTGTAACACAGCAGACTTGCAAGGAATATAGTATTTCTTTGTTCAGGCTGAGAGAGGATTCATTCTGTTCCAGGACCTGTGTTATCAAGGTGTGTTTCTGAAGATGTGTGTGACAATGGCAGGCATTTCAGCAGCCTGTGCGTTGCTGAAAACTGCAGCATGTTTCTTCAGCCATTCAGAACAGTGCCTGGGAAACCCAGCTCTGCAGGCCAGCACACTTCCCTCTGAGTAGGGCTGGATCCTACGCAATAAGCTGAACAGATAATAAACAGCAGTGACAAAAAATGTGGTTACATCCTCAAAGAATTTTTGATCCTTGACCTGTGCATGAACACAATCCTGAGAACACAGCTCTATCTAGTCTTTTTCTATGCATCTATAAAGGCTGTTGTATGCCTCTAAATTAGCACTGGGAGGGGATTTGATTTTGTTGACTCTCTGAGCTAGGATAGTTCGCTTTGCCTGATCAGATATTTGTTTCACTGATACATAAATACATTATGTATATGTGTGTGTGTGCATTTTGTATTCGTGCACGTATGTGCACATATATAAGCTTGAAAAATATTCCCTCTTTTAGCACACTAGGGAATGATTGGGTGGTGTTGGTGTGCCTGGTCAAGCCAAGGTATGTAACCATGGCCGCAGCCTCATAGCTTTTGTACTCTGAGGAGTGATTTTTTCCCCTCCTAACTAATCATGAGATTATTTCATTGTCTTGTGAAAATGCCATCCTAGCACATCTTCCTTACCACTGTTGAGCAACATCCCTACAATCTGTTTCCAGAAATTAAAACTGGGACAGAGCAAAGTCTGTCTTCAGTCCGGTCAAGAAGGCCTGTGAAAGTATGACCCTCTGGACTGAACTGTGCCCTGAAAAAAGTTGCTCGTAATGTCATTGAATCACTGCTTATCTGAGAATAATCACTACTCCTCAGAGCATAATAAACCCACTATGTGCCCACCTGCACCGCAATCTCTCAAAATCAGTTGCTTAACTGACGTTAGATCTGCTTGTTACTACAGAGCCACCCAGCTCTTCCTGAGCTTGCCAAAAGAGCTCGTTTCAAGTTAAATGATTGCATAAAGAAACAAATAAACCCAGAGGTGATTTTGACATTGCCATTATAGGTAGCTTACCTGTCACAGATGACTTGGAGCCTCTGAGGTGTCCTGGAAGCAGCCACTTCTAGAAAGTGTAATATGCAATCACAGGATTAAATGAAAATCAAGCCACAAACCATTCTTTGAGCCCTTTCGAAGAACATATGCTCAGAATTTCAAAGGGACCTATAGAATCTGTCATCTTAATATTTATAAATATACATTATTCCTATAGGACTTGAGTACCAGCATTGATGTTAATAAGGCTGTTCCAGTTCTGTAACCCTTTCTTTTCATACATCTGTGAATATAGGCCTTGGGCCCCCTTCTGTTGCTGTGTGAGTTTTAGATTTGGCTTCAATAAAAGCAGTATCAGCCCCTAAAGCCTTTACACGAAGGAAGCAGAAAGAGGTTTGCAGGCCTGAATCCCCAGCAATTGTCTTGGCTTACAAATCAGCTTCTGAGCTTCATGTATTGCCCTGTGCACACAGGGCTTTTCTGCATGGATCTGGCAAAAAAAGTGGGGCCAGAGCAAAGACACTTGGGTCCTGCTCTCTTGTCCACTGCTCTTGCTGTCAATCCCTCACTAAGTTTGTTGTTTATTATCAAATTAACCTTCTCCATGCAGGCTTTGTACTTACCGACTCAAACATCTCTACCAGATTGGAACTTTGCAGGGTTTGTGGTTTTGGGAAGGCTGTGTTGTTGTTGCCATTTTTCAAGGACACATTTCTAAACATTGTGGAAAATGTAGACAAATACATTCTCCAAGTATTTTCTTATAAAGCACGAGTTTTCTCAGGCTTAGATATGAATGAATGGCTTAAGCCTGGAAGATTTCCCCTTAGAGATGAACAAAGGCATTTTCTTGCATCAGAAAGGCTGTAATTTCTACCAGCAACGTTTTCCTGAGTACTATTTCTGACAGTGCTTGAGCAGGAAGGGTGGTGTCAACCTCTCTTCCAGCCCAGCCCAGACAAGCATTCTCCATGGCAGCAAGACCACCAGAAGGCAAGCGCCACTGGTCTGCTGCCAGTAGATTTGGTGCTTGGCTGGGGCTTATGCTACACCACTGGAGAGCATCTGCCCTCCCTTCCTGCCCAGAAGCATCCGCCACATCAATCAGGGACAGAAGTTGCTGGCTGTGGGCAAAGCAGGGGTACCCTCTGTCTTCACCTGCATGGGCATTTCCAGAGTGCCAGGCCCAGGGGCTCAGTCACTCAGTGTCCGACTTGATGCACAGTTTGTTAAAGTGCAAATGACTGAACTTCCAGCACTTAACCTTTCCAGCAGCAATCTTTCACCATTAAGCCAGGCAAGCAGGTTGTTAAACCTGTCTATCACAGGGTAAGTAACAGTTCACAATTGAAGTGTTCTCCTACACCCAAATACTAAGGTAATTGCTAAAGCAGTAAATGGCAATATAACCCGGGATGGGATTCCTGACAGTTTAGGTGCCAGAGCACTGAAATTATTGCAATATCTAGAAGTTATATATTAGTATCTTGAATAGCCCCTTCCCAAATCAGTCACGAAGATTAACTCTGGCAGAACATTCATCTTGGATCACTAATAACATTTTCTCTGGATCCTCTTTCCTTCATTTTGCCCCCTTGACTGTAATAAAAGTGTAGAAATAAATCGTCCCTACTGAGTAGAGATGTAAAGCTTCCAGGCAGAACAGAAGAAAAACAATTTAAAAAAAATGGTTTGGAAAAACATAAGATGGTTTTTGTATGAGGCAGAAATTTTTACCCCTTCGCAGAGCTGGCCAGAAACTTTCAGATGTTGTAACTTTCTGCCAGAAAATTCTGATTTGTGAGATGGAAACCTTCCATGACAATATATCAATTTCCTTTAATATTTAATAAAAATGTCAAGGTTGTACTTTAACTCTACTGAAATCTTTTAACATCAATGTTCTTTAATGAGTTTAACATAAAAGTTAAAAAGTGCACATTCAGTTGAGAACAGCAGGGCAAAATGTTTCAGTGATATCTAAGTGAAATGTCACTGGTTTTGTGGAGTGCATTTTCCGGATTAACATTCCAAAGAGGAAATAGGATTTTCTTTATGTTACAAATAGGAACATCAGTTTGCTTACTGGGAACTGGGAGGAATACCTGAATTAGAGTCTTCACTGTCTCAAGCAAGCCTCTTGAATTAAATTTATCATTTATATAACAAGGAGATTAATAATTATCTACAAGGGGTAGCATAAAAGCCAGTGAGCCAACTACTGCTATCCCTGTCCAAACACATCTCTCAGTGGAGAATTCTGCTTGAGTGAGGACTGCCAAACTTGCCACTTTGAGTAGACAGAGCTTTGATTATAAATGGAAGACATGGGTAAGAAAACAGTACGTCTCTGCTCAAGGATTTAATGTAGTTAACTAATCCACTTTAAATCAGTTCAGATTAATCTCCTGACTGACCCCATATAGACAAGCCCTTAGAGAATGCTGAGGCCCCTTTGTGTTGAACAGGGTAAGAACAGAGCAGTAAATATTTCCCTACTGTAAGATTAAGACCAACCTAAAATTTTAAACCAATGTAAACAGCTACTCCTTAAAGAGATGAAGAATATTTAGATATAATTCAAAAAAGTGGATGAACTACCGAATTATTTATCTCACAGTGATGATATAGACATAAAATGATGGGATTGTGTAGGGCTGATTGGCTTTTTTAACAATAAGAGTAGATCTGAAAGGTAGCGCTTGGGTTTGTTACTATCTCTATGCAAGGCGGTGTGTGCTAATAAGGAAATACCTTCCTATATGAAAACCCAGGTGAAAGTGGCTAATGAACTGATAATGAGGCAAACAAGCCAGAGGCCAAAAGTTAAACTTTCCTAATTGATGAAGAGAGAGAAACAGGATGCCAAGTGCTGCTGGATGAAGGCGCTGGGGTTGCAGGCTCACAGAGAAAATTTTTCTCATTAGTGAAATCTCTGTGGCTGAAGGACAGAAGCAGAGCTCTGTCTGTGTGGCAGGCTGGAAACTGCAGCCTATGCCCACTGCCAGACAGATAGGAAGTTTCCCTACTGTCTAGCCAGCACAGATATTGCACCTTGGTTACAGTACTGTTCTTCCCTTTAAGATCAAAGCTGCATGCAGTTTATTGTGACAATAAAAATTTCATCGTTTTAGAATTCAGTTTCAAACCATCCCATTTGTTAAATGAAGCATCAGCATAAAAAGTGAGATAAAAAAAAAAAAGCACTCCGAGTGCAGACCTCATCTGCATTCTCAAAAACGCTATTTGAAGTTTGCCTTCCAGAGCCTGCTGCTCGTTGCCTCCATCTGCTGGTGACATTTTGGAAACGCAACAGACACTACTCGGGAGCGCATGTTGACTCTGGAAAGCTTCTGAATCTCATTCAGCATAGCAAAGTCTGTAGATATGTGAAAAAAAAACAGGCTTGATTTAAGTCATCGCTGCATTTGAAAAAGGCCAGTGTAAAACCTGTGGCTGCTAAGTGATATGATACTACGTGGCATAGTAAACTTATTAGTCAGCCCGTGTGATAAATCAAGGAGTAAAGCTCACTTATAGCGGGTTCATCATGTTATAAAGAAATACACAGGGTTCCCCACTCTGTGGAATCCAAATGTCAGAAAAAGGAAACAAAAACTCTTGGTACATTGGGTGCTCCAATATTCCCGGTTTGGCAAAAGCACTAGCTTAATGCCATGGGCTGTGATTCCTAATCCTTTCCTGCCCTTGACCCCTGCTGTCTAGATTCAAACTTGTAACCATTAATGGGGCTGGATCAAAACACTGGCCTTCTGGTGTCACCAATGGTGTTTAGAGGGGATTTAAACTCACTGCTTTTCAGTGCAGTGAAATGAACACAGCAGTAGATTAATGCAAGGATTTGAGCGCACACAGCATGAGAGCTTTCAAAAATAGTGTTAACAGAGCTACAACTGCCTCTTTCAGGGGAAGCAAAATGAGGGGAACAGAACAAATGAACAAACACAGGGCTAAGCCTTGTCACTATGGGCAGGGCTCCTGAGCCTGGGGAGCCAGGACAAGGGCCAGCAAGTATGCTCTCCCAACCCTTCATGTTCTGCAGGAACTGGTTCTCAAGACAGGGCTGAGGTAAATCCATGCTTTCAGGCCCCATGGCTGCATGTAATTCTCTACCCCAAGAGTCTCTCCTGCAGGGAGGAAGCAAGATCACAAACGGTTGGGCTGGCCATGGAAGAGTTGCTTACCCATCCTTCCTGTTTATGTGGGGACAGGCATGGGTTGAGACTTTGGCAAACTGTAGGCAATGGGCATGAGCTCCGTTTCTAAACTCCCTTGTGCAAGAAGGTCAAATACTCCCTTGTACATTTCACCCCTTGCCAGTTGCCCACAGAAGTGGCAGGGGAACTGCTCTTCCTCCAGTTGCCTGGAGTGTGCCTGGCTCACAGTGCCCACAGCCCATGCTGTATCTCCTCTTCAGACTCTGCAGCAGGATGTGCTCAAGTCCACAGGAGTGACAGGAAAACATCTGAAGGTTTCCAGCTTTCATTTCAAAGATTCCTACTAACCCACTTGGTCCAGGAACCCTTCCAGTAACAACCTCAGTCTGGGGCTGAGCCTACAGTGCTGAATCCAGTGGGAGTTTTGCCATCAACTTCAATGAGAATGGGATCACACCTCGGTGCTTTGTTTTGCCCATGTTCGTTCCTTGCCGCGGGCGGGAACCTGTTTGTTTGTTTGCTGCCTGCACTCACTGCGAACATCAATAGGACTAGCTGAAAGCATTCAAGCCATCAGACTGGGGAAGGCTCCGAAGTTTGTTTGCTTATCTGAACCATCCCAGGCACGCTGATTCCCACAGCTGGGCTGGAAACAATCGAGAGAGAGGTTTTCTCAGGCAGACTCCACAGCTTCCACAAGGGCTGAGCGTGTCCTGGAGCGGGAAACAGTACTTGTGCTTCAGGGAGGAGAGGGGAAGTGCACAGGAGCATGTGAATGCCAAATAGCTTTAAACAAAGAGACTTATTTGCCTTCTTACCAACAGCCCCATCGAAAACCGACTTGATTTTGTTCACAACTAGACCAACTTTCTATGACTAACCTTCTTCTGTCCAGACTGGTTTGTATAATCCAGGTGTGAGCCAAATGCTTGGTTCCAGTATGTGGCTGGAGCAGCTTGGAGCCCCTTAGGCAGGCTCTGAGGAGGGGAAAGGGATGTTGCTTCTCCAGCTGGAACACCTACTGCCCAAAACACTGGCTCAGCATCCCACTCCCATGTGTTTGCTAGCATGGTGGGATGTTCCTACAGGAAGGCGTCCTCTGACTCCTGCATTTCTGTCTGATCCAGCCACAGAAAGGCACCAGCATCACAGGTTTACAGAACAGCACAGGTCAGTTCTGCCCTATTGGAGTCCATTAGGGAAATTTTCTATCAAGCCTGAAAGCCATGCCAAGTGCAAGGTCCTACACCTGGGTTGGAGCAGTCTCAGGCACAGCTACAGGTTGGGTGGAGAAGAGATTCAGAGCAGCCCTGCAGAGAAGGACTTGGGGGTGAAGGTCGATGAGAAAATGAACATGGCCTGGCAGTGTGCGCTTGCAGCCCAGAAAGCCAACCGTGTCCTGGGCTGAATCAAAAGGAACGTGGCCAGCAGGTCGAAGGAGGTGATCCTGCCCCTCTACTCTGCTCTCGTGAGACCTCACCTGGAGTATTGTGTGCAGTTCTGGTGTCCTCAACATAAAAAGGACATGGAACTGTTGGAACAAGTCCAGAGGAGGGCCACGAGGATGATCAGGGGACTGGAGCACCTCCCGTACGAAAACAGGCTGAGGAAGTTGGGGCTGTTCAGCCTGGAGAAGAGAAGGCTGCGTGGAGACCTCATAGCAGCCTTCCAGTATCTGAAAGGGGGCCTATAGGGATGCTGGGGAGGGACTCTTTATTAGGGACTGTAGTGATAGGACAAGGGGTAATGGGTTCAAACTTAAACAGGGGAAAGTTTAGATTGGATATAAGGAAGAAGTTCTTTACTGTGAGGGTGGTGAGGCATTGGAATGAGTTGCCTAGGGAGGTTGTTAATGCTCCATCCCTGGCAGTGTTGAAGTGTTCAAGACCAGGTTGGACAGAGCCTTGGGTGACATAGTTTGGTGTGAGGTGTCCCTGCCCATGGCAGGGGGGGTTGGAACTCGATGCTCTTAAGGTCCTTTCCGACCCTAACTATTCTATGATTCTAACTCAGATTTGAAAAATGCTTAAGATGACTAGACTTGTCTTTACTGAAGCTGTTTCCATGCTGCCTAGGTGCCTGTCCTCTCCCTCCCAGTCCTTCCATGGGCACCCTCCACAGCAGCAGCCAGCACTGCTGTTCAGACAAAATAGAGCTAAGCAAGAATCACCATTCAGGGCAGTTCTGGGCACTTACACATTCTCTGTATTAGTTTATTTGCTTATGTAGCCTTAATGCTTTCACTTTTAAGCTGTCCCTGTATATAGCACTGGGATACCTAATCATCATCACTGAGTTTTTAGCCTAGTATGAGCAGACGACTGGCATAGAAAAAATTCTTTGTGATCATTTTGTCCCACACATGAGCAACTCCTCCCTTCCAGACTGCCCTTCCCAAGTTGTAGACTATACTCAGCCAAGCCTTCAACAACTTAGAGGAGAAAGTGCTTCCTCCAGCTGTCTGCTCTCTGCTTGCTCCCTATCCAAATTAAACTTGCTGTGGACAGCGACACATTCCCATTTCACGCTGGTTTGATTAATGTGTCTCAGCTAATTGTGTGAAGGATTCCACTCCTTTCGACTGTGAGACCAGGTTATTGTTCAGCCAATCATGGCTACCATGTGAAAATGGGGGCTGTTTAGTGTTCATGCACCAGAATCAAAGGAGGGGCATCTTCGACTGGGTCACAGAGCAACACCCACTTCTTTGAAAAGATGTTACTATGCTCTACTAAACCTGTAAACCTCTTGCTCAAAGCACGTCTTCTCCCTCCTCCTCTCCCCCTCCTCTTTCCCCCCCTCCCATCCAGATAGACAGGCTCCCCCCACCACTCTCTTAGGGTAGGAGTGAGAGAGAATGGCTAGATTGTAGATGGGTGGATTTTACATTCTAGGGTTTTTAATATTTCACTTTTATATTTCTCTTGCAGAATGATCCTGCTGAGAGACTCAGTGCTCATCATTTCCCCCTCACTGACACTTGAATATATTTTCCCAAGAGAAAATATTAAACAAAAAGAGAGAAAGGGAGAGAGAGAGGGAGAGGGGAGAGAAAAGGAGAGAGAGAGCTGGCTTTTCAAAGCATACTTCTCAACCTGCCCACATCAAAATAAGAGACAACTGGCCCTTTGAAGTCCAGGACACAGACTTCTCTACCAGCCCATGTGGAAATAAAAGAAGCTAGCTTTATAAATCACACAGATTTCTTACCTTGCCCACATCAAAATCAGGGACAGTGACCTTTAAAAGTGTGGTTTAAAGGCCCCCAAACCAATCTACATAAAAATAAGGAGAGTTCAGATAAACTGTGTCTCCAGGTACCTGTTAGTTTTCTCAATCTGTACCAGGAGACACTGGTCCTTTGCACTGAGGAGTAGAGAATATCAACATTGTCAGCACTTGCAGCAATGAAATCTTCCATCAGCCTAAGATACACCCAGCATTCAGTGAGGCAACTTTGCCACACTTGTACCTTTGCTTGTATACTAGGCCAACCCAAATATTGTTGTGGGTCCTATGACACCACTATCATAAATCAGCTCAAGGGATTTAGTAACACTGAAGCACAGGATTTTTCCTAATGAGAATTACTGACCCAAAAAATGAGTGGCTAGTGAGTGGCTTAAAGTTGGCATTCTTGTGAGTTAAATACTACCTGGCTTATAGTTGGGAACCTTGGAAAGTCCTTGCCAGGAGTCCTCAGTCAGGACCCCCAATACCTATACAAAAGGAGAAAGAGTGAGAAGAGCAATAACCTTTATTTGCCATTACTCTGCTTTTGTGTGGAGCTGGAGAAGTCAGTTTCAATGGAGAGAGACTCTTCTTTTCTGTAAATCCAGCATGGATTCACACTGCCCTGCACAAAAAGGACATGGACATTTTAGCACTTGATTTTGTAGCAAAAAAGGCCCTGCTGAGATGCAATGTTATTGCTGCTGTAAACATCAGTGAAGGTGTACACATCTTCACTGCCAGGTTACTCCTGAACGTGTTTGCCAACTCATGGGTCACTGCTGAAGGTGTCCTCCTGCACCAGAGCTGCACCTGGGACTTATTCTGCCTGCTTGCACTGGCAGCAGCCAATATGCTCAGCAGCAGCACAGGCTATGAGCTGATGGAAACCCCTGCCATTCTGAGGTGAAAAAAGAGGTGGCATGCAGGTCTACAGCAGGTGGTACAAGGCAGTCCAGTGTCTCATCCTGAAGTGTCCAGAGCTTCTGTAGTGTCTTTGGCCTTTACTGTGAATTGTGGGCTTCAGAAGTAGGTCCTCACGGAGCAAAGTTTGAGCCAATAAAGCCTCCTTCAACCTTATTTTAGTTGCTGGAATGTGTGAGATCAAGCATATCTGGATTTCTGTGACAGCTGCAGTTGTGGATGTTTAGTGTTATTATTACTTACCGCATGCAAAGTGTGTTGTGCCTATTGATACGGATGAGTTGTGCTAAAGTGGTAAAGCCACATATTTCAGAAGAGTTTACAGCATGTGATATGGTATTATAAATCAGTTCTGCTCACTCCAAGCGTTCAAAGCTTATCTTTCAGACAACCCACAATATTATCAGATTTCCTTAAAAAACAGTGAAATTGTAACATGAAAAACATCAGGGTTTTTTATTTGGTTTCTCTTCTCCAACATTAGATTTGTCTCACATTAGTTACACTTTGCATATGATAGACAGTTCCTTTTCCTTAAAATGAAAGCTGAGATATATGATATTGGCCTCACAGAAACTTGTGATAAGATTGCAAGAAAACAGGCATCATTAAAGAAGGAAGAAATACAAAGTCTGGTTGTGGCAGTTGTTATGCATCTGGTAGCTGATTGCTTTTCTTACTCACAGTTGGGAAACAGCTGTGAGGACAATTACAGCTACCTGGAGAAGACAGCCACAAGCAGGGACTTTATCTCACAGCTGGCACAGATTAGCAGGGTGGTCTGTGGGGCTCAGCCATGTGAGGATATTGGAAGGTGGCTTGCACTGGGGGTAATTTGACAGGTCTGGATAAGGCTGCATTCTTGACTGGTGTGTGCATCATGCAAGTAGGGCAGTTCTGCGCAAAGCAAACTCTTGAGCATGCACAGGAAAGAGAGAGTTAGAATTTGATCCTGACTCCAGAATTTGCTCTCTTTTGCCATCCTGGTATCTTTCTGAGAAGCCACAGCAAAACCTCTAAAATATTCTACACTGAAAATCCAGGTGTGTGTTCTGAAGTTCCATCTCTGCATACATCCGGGCCCTTGTTCTTCACGGTTTCTTGTGAGCCATCAGGCATCAGTCCTAAAGGCATCAGAGGGAGCTGGGGAAGTTTACGACATAGTAAAATCATACTCTCCAGCATCAGCTCAGCACTCTGCCTCTCTCTTTTAGTGAAGAATTTAAGAAAACAGTTATTCGTGCATCTTGTACTTTATGTGTAAAGTTTTCAACAAACGCTTAAATTTTGCTGAGTTGAGGTATGAAACCTTTCAGAGCACCAATCACTGAGTGCTATATGAATATGTATTTATATTTTCCAAGTCTTTTCTTTACAAAAGATGCTATTCCAACCCTTGAATTTGAATCTGTTTTTTAATTTCCAAGATAATGGGGCAGGTGATTTTTTTTTCCTTTTCTCTTTTCCCCCAAGAGACCTTTAGTGAGAATCCTTGCCAAAACAGACTATGACTTATATTTATTTAATTGAAATTAATTATACTCTGGGGATGGTTTTATCTGGTGTGTATCTACCCTAAATCTATCTGTTAACTCTCTGGTCCATGCTATTACACTAAGCAAAACAGTTCCTCTGTACTTGCTGGTCTGCCATGCTTCTCCATGCATGCACTTTTTACTAAAGTGTCTTGGTGCAGCTCAGTTCAGTTCACTTTGGAAGAGTCATAGTTGCAGCCAGGGCTGTATTTATAATGCCTGTATTTCAGCAAGCACTTTAAATTGGTGTAAATCATTGTCCTCTCTTTACCCTCTAACTGCTTGTTTCTCTTGTGATGAACCACCTAAAGGAATCAACATACCTGATTTTGCTCAGTTTTGTTTTATGTAGAGAAGCCTTGTAGCCATTCATTTGTCACTTGTCACATGTTTGGTTGAGCCACAGAAGCATGCTGCTGGTATGCCACAGCCTAATCCAGCCCACATGAGGTCCTCAGTACAATGCTAATCAATAAGGTGGGGGTTTGGAATGCAAACCCTATGCCTGATCTCTTGAAATGTGAATGATGGATCTTAAGTTTGTCAGGTTTGTTTACTCTCCATGCCATGGCAGAACTGGAGACACTGCAGTTTGTATCCCCTCAGGCCATACTTCCATAACTAGCACTGCCAGCCTCAGTAGCTCCTTCCTCTTTGTCCCCTTCCCATTTACTTCTGCTCCTGTGTCATCCCTTCATGAGTACTACTGCTTAGGCAGCCAGATAAATGAACTGTATAAATAAATTGTTCTTGTTTAGAGTAACCCAGGTGGAAAACCAAGTTACAGGTTCCCTGGTTCATGTAGCCCCACATGTGAGAGGTGACACAGAAGCAGGAATGAGCAGCCATGGATAGAGAGGGGGAATGAAGACTTCTTAAGCTGGCACTTGCTTCTAGAAGAAATACTGGTGAAATTGCAATTAGTCAGTCATGATGATTCAACCGAACAAACACAATTCATAGAATGGGGATTTTCTAGCCATGTATCTACACAGTGTCTGAACCAGTACTATGTGGGGATAAGCATGCTGAGTGATACAGACTCACGCACACAAATGCAGACAGTCTAAATCAGTGCAGGGTGCCTCCATTATTAGTACATGAAAGGAACTGACTATTAGGAAACAGTAGGAATCCCCATTCTGAACCTCAGACTCGGCAAAATATCTCAAGTTAGCCATCGAAAGCCTCTAAGGAGCTTTGAAATCTTGGCCTAACACAGAGCCTCATTCCAGGCTGTATAATAACAGAAAACCTTCTGTGAATGGCACTAATTATTTCATGGCTCTTAAAGCTTCCTCATGATTTTTAAATAAGTTTGGTTTTTTTGCCTTCTATAGCACAAATCCTATTAATCACGGTATTAGTTATAATACCAGAGAAATGACGATACGGCTATAACCTTCCAACTGCAAAACCACAGGAAATGTATCCAGAGATTTCAGAGCTGTAAGTGGAAGGATACCCTTCATTCACACTCCGGGAAATTCAGCTCTGCCCTGGCTTTGAACTCTATTAATTGGCCACGTATAGATTTTTTTGACCCCTCAGTAATTCTGGTTTTTTTTCACTACAAAAGAGAAATTCAGCATTTATTTAAATGGACTGAATTCAAGTCTAAGAACTGGTCCCACCTCTCTGACTTTTTATCACATTTTAGCTGAAAGCAGAGAGGAAAACCAGGCAGGAGTGTTTCTGGGTGAAGGGATTAAGAAGGAAAAGTCTGACTTACACAGACTTGAGGCTATAAAGTCCTTTCTCACAGTTTTCTGTTTTCTTTGAAAACCCATGTTTGGGAAACACTCTGTGCAGAAAAATAACTCCTTAGGAGGACATGTGAAAGAGCAGACACCTACAGCAAAACCCAAGAGGAATGTATAGGTTGAACTTCCTGTTAAGTCAGTAACAGGGTCAGCAATGAGGGAACATACAGAATCCACTAGTGCTCATAACTGCCTCAATTCTACCAAACTGCACTAAGGACATAGCTCTGTGTTTCAGTTTCTCCCGCAGAAAAAAGGGCTTAAGAGGCTTCTGAATCTGTCTGCTCTCACTCACTGCTGCCTTTATAAAGTAATTTCACACTTTCCATTATGCCAAAGCAGTCTCTAGGGCTGCACCATAAACTGGATGATACAAAATGTTCCAAGTTAAGGATTTCTGAAAAACCTCAGGGTTTTGCCATTTTCAAGGTAGTTTAAGAGCAGTATTAGAGCTCTTTTGTGAGAATATGGTGTGCTGTATCCTACAGTAAGTAACGGATTTAACAAGAAGGAATAGAATCTGCAGTACCTGCACACCTTTTATGCCTTCTTCAATTTGATGTCACTTTAATTGGCTTTAAATTTTTGATGAGATGACAAACATCAAAGGAAAGTCATTTGATTTACTCCTATGTCTGTAAGAAACTTGCCAAATAGAAAATGGGTTACAAAGTTTGCTATGAACTTGTCAGATTGGACCAAATTATTTCTGCTATTCACGGGACCTATTTTAGGACTTCAAAATTAAGTAGGGAGCTGGAGCAGCAGATTCTTTTTCTCTCCAATTTCAGGGTGTATTTTACTAACCTTCCAGATTTTCAGCAGCTGTTCATGAGTACCAGAAGTTCCTGCAAATACTGGCTGGCCCTGGATCATTTCAACAAATACACAGCCTGCACTCCTGCAAGAAAAACAAGGTATTAGTTCATTCACATGCATGACATACATTGTATGATTGTTGGGATGGGCAGGGGAGAGATGAAGGTAGGCAATTGTTGGAATAGAAATTTAGAAATCCTGACTTGTAAATGCAGAAATCCTGATAGAAGCTGTAAACCTTATACATATTGAAGCTCAAGTCTGAAAGGTACCAGTCTGATGTGTAGGTATTGTATACCTACCTCCTGTCATCTAGTGAGAGTGTGTGAGTGTATGTGTGTGTGAAGCAAGGCCGGATGCAGAGTGTCTGTGTATACATAAATACAGGGTTCAGTGATGACTGATACACTTCTACAGCATGGTGGTAGGCAAGATGTAGCATTATTAAAAACCCTACCGACTTGGAAGTCAGGAAGGTTTCCTTTGGGAAGGGACATCTTATACCTCCCTCAACACTGTTCTAAGCACTTGCAACTGGCTTCTGCTCGAGTTTTATGTAGTATTGTTAACCTCATTCAAGTCCTACAGATTGAAACACTTGGATTAAAAAGCTGATAAGTCAAACAGCATGGGAGCAGACCAGAGGTACATCACATTCACATCCCTCCAGGATTATAGAAAAGAGTAAAGCAGTCAAAGTTCCATGCAAGTCTGTTGCCATCTCCTTTTTCTCATTAGCACCGTCCACTAACTCACACACACCCCCACACACACACCCTTCACCAGCAAGACAAGACAGGTGATATCCTTTGAAAATAAACCCACTAAACACTGGGTTTTTTTTTCCAGCACCAAACGATTTGTTTCAGGTCTCTTAATTGATCCTGTTACAAACCCATCCAAAAAGCTGGTTGTGGCAGAAGTCTGCGGAATAGGTGAAAAATCAGAGTGATAACAGTAGGAAAGATAAACAGGGAAGTGTTGCACACTTTATGGGCTTGAAGAACACATCAGAAGCAGAAAGAACCCAGAGACACTACCCACTAGAATGTTTTTTCCTTCAGGAGAAATTAGCTTTTCACTGGAAAACTGATGGCAAGATTTCATCGTATGAAGAACTTGGTGACAACAGCAAGTTAAAGTATTCTTAAGTTTTATGCCATCCCCCACTCTTCACTTGTGCCAGAGCAAACCAGCCAGCTTAAAATAACCCACTAAACCCTGCAAAAAATGCTTAATTATATTTAGGTGAATTAGTCCTATTGGCAATAATGATGAGGTAGTTGTGGTCAGGGTAAACTTATCTTTTCAAGTTTTTCCATATCTTATTGTACGGTGTAAAACTCTGCTCATTTACCTTTTCATCTTTTTTCCCAAACTTTTTCTGTTTCCCATCTTTTCACTATGCCCCATCTCAACTTTTCAGGTTTCAGTATTAATCTTCTTTGGTTATAGCAAATTTGGGTCCTTTAAGCTCAAATATTGAAACCCCAGCTTTGACTAACAGGCTCTGAAAGTATTATTTTCACTTGCTAAGCAACAGCTGGTAATCTCTTCTAGTCATCTCTACTGCTGTGTTACCCCTTGCAGCTTGTTTTTGTACTACTGTAGATGCTTTTCCTACCTGGCTGTGGTCACTTGAGAGCCTGACATGTGACTCATCTGCAGTATTTTAGGCATGCTTGTGCATCAGGTGATGCCAAGCCTGTTTGCAGATCCGTATCTAATGCTGTTTTCACAAACATCTCTGCTGCACTTTGCCTTGGTTTCCTATATCCTAACCTCCTAACCCTGGGTCCTGTGAGCTTAGCTGCTTGCTTGCCTAATGCTTTTTCAGGATGCAGGCACCATGGAACTTAACCCACAGCTTTTGCAATATACGGGGGTTTTGTGTTTCATAGCACTACAGATCACTAGATATTATTCTGGAGCCCACAGACTGATTCTACTGAGACCAGTGTCATACCAACCTTTTGGCTTTTTTTCACAGCTGATGTATGTGCCCAAATCGCGCACCCTATTTTGCAACTACGGGCTGCTGTAATCCACTGATTCTATTGCACAAGTTTAATTGCATGTGGTCAAAGCAATTTAGGTATTCTTGATTTCTAGAAGAGAATCAGCTCTGTGGTTTTGAAGCAAATGATCCTGATGTTCCCCACTGTTTGGGTTCTGATATCCTAGCTAGAAATAGCATTAGACTGGCAACAGCAGAAGCCTTATTTTCCTAGATGTAGCTAGCATTTGCTAAGAATTACCCACGAGCAGAGTCCAAAAATTCAAATTTAATGAAACAGTCTTTTCACTTATAGGCAAGCTGTGAGTTTGAGGAGAGGAACACCTTGCGGGTTGCTATGAGTGCACTTTCTGGTAGAACTCTCCGTTGTATTCCTGGTTTATTCTTGTTATCTCTGGAAGCCTTTACACCTCAGTGTCTCTAATAAAGACAAAACTATCAGAACAGCCACAACCTCTGGAAAGGCTTCTTGTTTCCTTTAGCGAGAATCAGCTGCCTTTAACGCCTGCTTGGTGCTGCACTGATTCATCAGTGGCAATTATCACTGTTTCTCTCTCGTTTGTTTCCAGATGAAATACACTTTTCTTTATTTTTTAAAAAATAAAAGCCAGAAGTAGCTAGAACAACTGATGTGAGGGCACCGCCCCCTTTCCCTAGGTATTTTTGTCTATCTGTTGAAGTAGGACTTTGGAAACTAGTGCTAGTCATCATATTAGCCTTTCAGTAGAGGCTTCAACTTTTCTTCTGAGAAAGATTTACAGTTACTGCTCTGACAGCATTATGAGAATCCGGCTGTTAATGAGGATAATTCAGAAACATTAACTTTTAAATATTTCTAAAGATTTAGACCTAGTGTTTTGGGTTTTGTCCTTTTCCTTCTTTCCCCTCTGATATTAATTTCTGAGGTACTCTTATCCTTTCCAGTCTGTAAGTTTCTCAAAGGTCTCAGTCCCATATAGCTACCTTTGGAAGGGCTAAGGCAGAGGGAGGGGTCTTTTGGGAAGAGGCCTAGACTTGATGTTTCAGCATGTGCCAGATACACACATGAACCAAGACAGTGACTGCTAAAGCAATAAGAGAGATATAACTGGTTATAGGAACAGTTAGTGAGCAAAACCAGAGCTGGTTCAGACAGCACGGTTGCATCTGCCTGCGGTCCCTGAGGTGGGTTTGAACACTGCACTTACTCCTCAGTCTGCAGTGCTGCATTACATAGTGGAGAGACGATTTCATCAGGATTAAGACCTAAGATATCTCTGCAGTATCCCAGAGTTCCCTCTCCACAGTTTTGCTGACATTGGGGGATTGCAATTACATATTTAATGAGAAATCCTTTCTTGTGTTCCTCACCAAGCATGGTCTGTACAGTGAAGCCCATAGCCTCTTATCTCGCGGGCTGGCATAGTGGGACAATGTGAACCAGGCTGGGGGAAAGGCTGTAGTGGGCTTGCAGACCCACATTAAATGACTCCACAGGAACTTCTATTCTACATGAATCTACCTGGGAAGATTCCTGTGATCATTGGTTTTGTTTTGTTTTTTTTTTAAATGGAAGATCATACAAAGAAAGCCTGACTGAAAAGAAGACATGACTTAAGGCTCTCATGATGTTAGCAGCTACAGTGCAGCACGTGCATAAAACACTTGGTGTTATAAAAAGCCCAGAGAAGTCTTTCTGATATGCAGTGTCATCTCCCTGAAACATTATGAAAAGTTAGTCTCCCTGAAATCCCTTAATTGAATCTTCTAAAGTCCAGAAGAGATAGTGAGGGAGAAAGAGAATGAAAAAAGATACAGGGAGATTAAAGCAGTTTTTCTAGTTAGGCCAAGAGCGAGTGAGTCTCCTTCTATATCTCTTTCTTCATCTATTCAAGGCCTCATTCACTTCCCATGTGCTTCCCACTGACAGTATTGCTGCTCAAGCACACTATGCATGAATTGCCATAATATTTTATTTTGTTAGAATTGGTTTCTTTAAACCATGGCTTTAACACCCACTGTCTCGTGCCGTTACCAAGGGCATTCTGATCTGCCTTCATGTAAACTGCAGCATCCAAAAGACATAGGGCTTTTTTTTTCCCTTTCTTCCCAATAGACAAGTAACATCTGTGTGAATTCACATTATTTCCTAATAGACAAAAATTGAACTTAAATGCAGTGTACATCAAGATAATAAATGACTCTTGTTAGAGGAAGTTACTGAATAGAGCTCACTGAAGTACTCTCTATTCTCTCAGCGTGACATCTTTCTTTAGGGAAAACACTTTGAATGTTGTTACTATAAGGAGGCATTATATACAATGGTGCCTATAGTGTGAATGCAGTTCAGTGGGACTCAAAGTACTGTGCTGTTAGAGCTGGTCAGAGTGCTGGATGGGACCTTTGTATATCACTCTTACGTTGCTATTCATTACACTAGAGCAGAGTTACATGTTGGTTTTGCACAGGCAGAAATGCCAGGCTTTCTGTGCGTAGCCAGGGTTTTGGACAGGGTCAACTTTCAGGAAAAAAAACACAACAGGCTTGCACCAGCATCTGTCTAATACAAACCCTCCAATCTGCTATGCAGGCATCTTCTTTAAACTCGGCAGACATTCCTGAGAGACTGTCTGGAGGGGAGAGGTGACAGGTAGTGGGGGAGAGAAGACAGGACTATTTAGACGGGCTTAGCAGCTGGAAGCCATTAGAATTTAGCAAGGTTTTCCTCCTTGGAGAAATCTTAAAGCAATTAAATTAGCACCAGGCCCAGGGAAGTGAACAAACCAAAAACTCCTGTTTCCTTGCACTGCCCTCCAGACTTAGGCCATCAGAGTCTCCAGTAAGCCGCAGATCTCTCGAGGGGAATACAGCCTGAGGGGACCTGGAGCTTTGCTGCTTGTAAGCTTACCCAGCCCTCTTCTTGCACATTGTTAAGCTTACTCCACACCTACCCTTTCCCAGCCTCTGACTCTCCAGAGCAGTTAAGAAAAGTCCCAGTTTGACAGGCACAGACAGAAAATTAACTGGTCTGAAGAAAGGGTGAAGCAGCAATACCATCTACAGATGTAAAACTGCAGAAAATGGGTGGTCCCCTGCAACTTCATGAGCTGTGTGTTTTCTATGTGTAAGTCAGGACTATATTGCTGGAAGCAGGCTCAGTCTGGTGCAGAAGTGAGCCACAGTGGCTAACTAAACATCCAGACCAGACCAAAAAGACCACTGTGACCCCTATGAAGTAAGTCCTCATCCTCTCCTGCTTTCTGTCTGCTCTCAGAGACTCCTCTCTCTTCAGCTCTGCAAACATGCAGCTCATTTTCTGTGATTCCCAGCCATATTAAGATTTCCGGATACAGCTTGTAAGGTGACAAGGCTTTAATAGAACACAGCTCTTCTTCTGTACAAAATGCAGAGTGCATTTGAGACATGTTCTTTGAGAAGGACAAAGTATCACAGAAATAATGAAAATCACAGATACCTTTCTATCTCCAGACCTATTCAGAAACCCTTTAATGCCACTTATTTTTGTTTTTGTTTACCAAGGCCAAAGGCATTGCTGGGGCAGTTGCAGATCCATTGTTTCTTCACAAAGCCATTGCTGCAGAGAGCTACCACTGACTGAGCCAACCATATAGATACAAAACACTAAGTGCATTAAGCGAAGGTGTTCTGTTGCAAAACCTGAAATTGCTTCATAAATGTTACCAAATTAGATGCGCATAGCTCATAAATATTATCAGATGATGTTTATATAAATCCATGGCTGAGATGTAGTGACATCATTCCCAAAAGCTTCTATGTATAAAACTCCCCACTGCTCACGTTTTAATAGGTGTTAATTTCTCTACTTACAACTGTGTCTACTGTAACTTGGTTGACTTAATTTAATTCAGGTAAAGATGATTTTTCCCAAGGGACCCCAGATGCTTTAAAATTGGTCAGTACCAGATATCTAGATCAGAATCTGTAGATCCAAGTAACATCAGGAGGACGGTACCAGAGTGCTGCCACTTCAGAGGAGTATGTCTGTGTAGGGATGGACTTAGCACGAGCAAGGCCTGCAACAGAATAAAGAAGACTGCTCTGTTAGGACAATCTTTCTGCCTGTACAACACATAGATGATAATAATTCAAAACAAGACATTATTTTCTCTTGGATATTTAAACACAAGCAATCCCAATGCAGTTTACAAAGTGTGTCTGGAATATACCTCTGGGGCAAATCAGATCAAGCAATATGCTGTGTTTTACAGGGCTTTACCATTTGTGACTGAAGCGGCCATCCCAAACCAATGCCAAGAAAACGTTTTGGTTCAGCACATTGCTGTGGACTGTACACGTTATCTAATTTTCTGAACAGAGAGGGGCTGATTCTCAATTCCCTTGAAACAATTTTATGTGGCAGTAATTGCTCTGTCTCAAACGAGGTTACTCCCTGCACCCATCAGAATAAATGCAAGAAAGGCTGGACTGACCACAGAAATAGTTTCCTGAAGTTTAGTAAGAGGTTATGCTTCTGTGCCTAATTGGCTGTGGATACAGATCTATATGCACATTGTAGCTTTGGTCTGAGCAGATATATTAGCAGTATCCAAATGGTGACTCACCAAAGTCTGATAATTTGAGCTCACCAAGGCAACTGATGAGCAAGTTCTGGGGTTTCAGATCACAGTGAAGAATGTGTTGTTGGTGGATGTAAGCCAGTCCACGCAAAAGCTGGAACATGAAAAGCTAGGAAAAGCCAACAAAAAACTGAAATGATTTTGTGTGACTTTGCATTGATACATTAACTCTGAACTTCAGGAGAACTCCTGGAACAAAGCAGAGACAAAGCAAGCAAGAAACCAATAAAAATCCCCAGATGAGGTGGCTGAGGAAGGGAAAACTGCAGTGGGTATGACTGTCCTGCAGCTTTCTGAGGGTTTTAGAGGGCAATATTTGGCCAGGAGGACAGTTACATTGCAGTCCCTAAGTGCGCATTTTGGAAATGTAACTTTTCTTTAGAAGCGGACTATTGATTGCAGGAGCAATCTCGGCTTTCAAAACAGGAGAGACTGATTTCCGCTTTCAGGACAAAAGCACAACGAGGGTTTACAGAGGCGGCAAGTTTTGCCCACCTGAGCCCGCGGACACCAGCAGAGGGAGTGCTGTGGCCGCGGCATACACCACCTCTGCCAAGGGTAAGCTGGACCAGGGAGCAGACCTAACTTGACAGTGTGAGCTGTTACCTTCAGGATGGGCGAAAACAGAAGGACCTGATTTGAACGGATGTAACAAATAAGATATCATGAACGGAGCAAGCAAGCACAAAAACACGCAATAAATAAATATCCAACTCCCACCACCATGGCAGCATCGATAAGCTTGGGGTAAAATAGGTTGAGCTGAAACAATGCATGAAGTGGGACAGTGGACAGAAACAAAACACAGCAAACGTAATTAGACTTCACCAGAGAAGAGATATTTTTCACCAGAAGTTTAATCTGAAGAGGAGGAAAAACAGTGACACCCATAGGTCATTTTTGTACCAGAAAAGAGACCATGTAATACTCTGTATACTTGCAACATAGACAGTAAGAATCAGAGAAAAAACAAACATTCGCCAGCAAAAATGGTGCAAGCCAGTTGACCCTCCTAAAGGAGGAGAAAATAATTTTGCAGTTCAGTTCCTGCTGACAATGAGGATTTCAGGCAGGAAAGCAGAGCAGCTGGCTAGTATTGACTCACAGAAATGCCCATAAGTACATGTTACAGCCGTGCACCCCATGTGCTTTACAAGTCTGTCTGGTAGCAGAACCCTTGAGATCTGTGCCAAAACTACAACACTGCATCTTGGACATATCTGAGCTTTAAGGATGTTTAAAATCAGAGGCCCCAATAAACTTCTTTAGAATTGGTGTTGCTTAACAACTATCTGGAAACAGATGTGAACAAGGTGGCAACATTTGGAGATGACAGAAGTATTTAGATTAGCTGTGATAAGAAGTGACAGTGGGGAACTTCAGCGAGATCTGACAAAGTCAGATGAACAGGCAGTTTGATAAGTTGCAAAGTTATTGTTGACAGCTGTAAGATACATTAACTGAAGCTGCTCAGGAAAAGGACCCAGGCATTCACTGAGGACATCTGCACTGAAACCTCAAGTCAGTGCGCAGCAACAATCCTGGAAGTTAATTAAATGTGAACACACATAAAAAAGAGAGTAGGAGACTATTACAAAATCACTCTATAAAGTACATCTTCATCTGTGCTCAGGTTCAGGCAACCAATTACAAAAAGCTGTAGTAGAAACAAAAGGGATTTACGTGACCATAAGACCATAAATATGCAGAGAGTTCCCAATGAGGAGAGAGTGAGATTTGAGAGGTTTTAAGAAGAGATGAATAATGTATTTTAATGGTAAGAGGATACAAATTTGTGTAGAGGCAGATTTCCCTGCCACAAGACGTCATTGTTCACAAAAGCTGCATGTCCTCTTGCAGGCTCAGAAAATGTGAAGAGGGACTAACCAAAAAAAGGCTTTGGAGACTGACAGGGAGGTTGTTAAATCCTTACGGAAGGCAGCTTTTCTCTAAAGTTTTTGTCATCTATGGAACAAATAAACACCAGCAAGCAACTTACAATGACTATACACAGTAGAAAATAACATTTCCTCATGCTTCAAGGGCTATGAGTATTCAAAGGAACTCACCATAACATTGCACGAATGAAGTCCTCCAGGATGCTGGCCCATGTACCGTGCTAGGTCTGTGCGCTAAATAGAAAAGGAGAACTTGAGGCAAAGCTACTTGTGTGAAATGCTTCTACCAATAATGCCTCTTCTGTAAATGGAAAAAATATGCAACCACTATAAAGGCATCTCTTTCACCTTGGTGAACATCTGATCTGATAAGGACACAAGGATGTGCTTGAGTGCTTTGTCAAATCAGAGACCTGGCTGACGTTATCTCATGCCAGCAGTTTATGAACTGAAGCTGATAGATAAGAGGATTCATGCTTGTGCCATAATTAATCATAAAGCTGCAGAAAAAAGACATAGCCTCTATATTTTCCTTCTGATTTGGTTGACAGCTATCAGCAAAAGCAACAGAAGTAGCAAGATTCATGCAGAGAAATTTTTTTATTAGCATCCTGCTCTCCCCATGAGAGCAAGCCACAGCTGGGTCATGGTGAGCCACTGGTGTCAGTGCCAAATCTGACCCCAACTGGGATGTATCATTATTTCCTATCCTTACTGTGGCTCGAGAACAGTAGTTTTATTGCATTGTCAAGACAGAAGTGGTGGCAAATAGTGTCTGCCACCCTAGTGAAGACAAGGTGTGGAATCATTTTTGCATACAGCTGTCATATACAGAAAGAAAAGAGTCTGTGTGTCTGGAAAGCAAGAGATCAGGAAACAAAATCAATCATTGCACTAACAATTTGCCTCTATAGATAATTCATACTGCAGTAAGTTCATTATGCAGCCACTTAACAGTACTAGTGTGTTAGGAGGCTGTAAGAGTGAATTTTCTTTTTGGCTCATAACGCAGACACGAGTTCACCACACAAACGACTATGAGGAAGTTTTGAGACGGCAAGTGAAACAGAAAGGAGGAACTGTGTACATAACAGAAGGACTAAGTGCACCATGTCGAAACTTTTATGCTGAGGTATGCAAGTCTGTGCAAACGACTGAAGGGGCTGGCCAAAGGGTGAGAGAGGAAGACCATGGAAGATGAAGTAACGACCCTTGAATTGAGGAGCAGCTCCCCAGAGCATAATTGGGCAGGCACAAAGTGGCCCCTAGAGAGGGACGGGACAGATGGCTCTCCCAGCACATGTTAGCCACAAGTGCCGGAACAACTGGGTGGTCCTTCAGGGATAAAAGACGGAGAGCCCCAGAGTCGAGGAGATAGCCGCAGCATCAAGGACAACATTGCCTCCATGGGGACGCCTGCTTAAGAGCTGCGCCTGCTTTGGCTCAGCCAAATCCCTCATGATATCTCTGGGGAAAAGCTCCATTCTCGGTGTCCTCATGTGCTGCATAGTGGGGTCGGTATGTATGTAATGCAATAAATGCTTTCCTGCTTTTATTATAAATGGGCTCAGTTCTTTAGTCTTTGGAATGTAACTACCACAACTAGCTCCACAGGAAGCTAGAAAAACAACAACTTACCTTGTACTCAAAGACAAATGTTAGTGTCTCCTTGATCTGGATAATGTCACGAAGCAGTACAACATTGGCATGTTTCAAATGCTTGAGAAGGGAAGCTGGAAAAACACAAAAGGAAGATCAATTTAATCACTGCTGCTGGAAATGGAAGGAGAAGGTGCACACAGAAAGGCAATGAGAATAAAAAACTGGGGAGAAATAGTCCAGAATTGGCAGTTCTGTAAGAAGCAGCAACTACGGACTCTGGAGGAGGATGGAACAGATCCTTAGAGAAGCAAGCATCAGTGCTCCAGGCTTGGCAGGAACCTGTCCTTCTCTCAGAGGTGGGCTCCTGCTGTCAGAAATAGCAGCTTGCAGTTCCCAGCTGTCAGATTCTCAGCTGAGGAGAAGGAATTTCTTCAAGGCAAATGCCAAGAGGATGGCTCTGGGAGCTCCCAGAGACAGAATGCAGAAGCCTCCAGCCTGTCATTGAGCTTCTCATCCTTCTTCCATCTGCCTCCTGGCACATGCCCTCAGCTGGGCCTCTGGGAGACTTCTGGGGAAAGCTGAGTTTCTATCAGTTTCCAGCTTCACAATATCAAGGTGTAGAAATGTGGCAAAAGAAATGACTGTAGATGCTAAGCTGAATTCTGAATTTAGCTCTGTGCTTTTAGCTTGGAGAAAGCATATTGGTTACTTTCTCTCATTTAAAACTCAAAGAGCAGAGATGATGAAGTTACCAAGTGAACAGTAACTTGTTTATATTTATACAACTTTGGCACTTTTTTTTTCTTTCAGCCTAACCATCTAAAAGCATCATTGCAGCCATATGGCCATGGTCCTTACGTGCTGACATGCCTTTGCCAAGCCTCATCACATCTCGGGTGTGGTGATGGAAGTGGCAGCACATGGAAGAGTCTCTACTGCCTTGCAGGCCACAGAGCACTGACTGATGCCAAGACATAAGCTACAGCCTTCCGAGCCTTTCAGCATTGTGTTAGGTTTGTCATGGTAGTGCAGGCTCCAGCCAACTCTCTCATGAATGCAGCTTCTCAGCAGAAAGTCTCAAACATAGTCTTTATGGGGGGAGAGCATCCACAGCTTCATTATTTGCTACCTTAGGTTTGAGACAATTGTTGCCATAGCTCTGCACAGGGAAGTCATGTGGGGAAGGAGTGGAACTGGCATAATTCTGCCTGTAGATCCCTGGCCCTGCTGAAGAATCTGACGAGCTATTACACCAAAACTGTGAACAGACAGAAGCCCCAATGCTCAGCAAAAACAGGGGTCCTGACTCCAGATTTCAGCTTCTGACATAGCAGAATAGCCAAACAGCCTCAGAACTGCTCCAGGCTCACTTTTCCCTGCTGATTGAAACCAAATTAGTTTACAGCCTGACCACTCAGTGCTGCAAATTTCATTCAGATACATTCATTCATACAAATCTCATTTTTGCTGAATTAGCGAAGCACACAATACAGAGCTTGGGCTGGCTGTGGGAGGCCAAATGAGGTTTGGTCCTGGATAAAAGCTGCTTTTTGTTTTTCAAACAGTCTGCAGAAGATATTTAAAGAATTTCATGCTGGCAAAGTAAATTCATACTGGATTAGCACTTTGCGTTTTGTGACCATAACAACTTCACCTGGCTCTAAAAGCCCTACAGCCAGATATACTGTATTCCACAGCTGTGGCCTAAGCTTATGTCAGTACTGAGACTGCTGAGCAGCAAGGGATGCCTGATTCAGCAAAACGGCTGGAAACAGCACAGATTGTAAATTAGTTCTTCTGAAGAGCTTGGTGCTGCCACTGCAGCTAAACTGCCTCTAGTACTGATGCTAGTCCATTTAGCTACCACCAGTGTGTTTCCAGTGCACAGCAGCATGCACTTTAAACATGCTCTGCGTTGCATCTAATTGCTTATGAACCCAGTAAAGATACTCTGTCTAGATGCCATCTGCTGTGGAAAAGAGCTGCTAACCTGGCTCTGCAATACCTCAAAAACCTCCATATGACCAGAGCTGTTGCTCCAGCAGAGCAGCATGGAGGGTTCACGGTAAAATGGAGAATTTAGCCCCTGTGCCTGAATCAGGCCGCTGGGAACGGCTCCTCACTTGGTTGCTTCTACAACCCCCTGCTGGGGTGTCAGGTGCTACAGCCAGAACTGAGCTTTAAAGGCATTTTGTCTCTGTGGGACTTCCTGGGGTGAAGCTGCTTTTTGTCACAAGAGTACCATTCCTCCAGGGTAGCATAGAAAGCATCGTGTTAATAAATCTTGTGCTTTGTTTGCCCTACTGACTTACATTGTAAATTTGAGGTGTCAGATGCTGCAAGGCTCAGCAGTACACAAAAGATCTACTTAAAGTAGACCTTTCATAGGATCACCCTTGTTTTCTCCCATAATGAATGAAGTTAAGGCTCTCAGCCTGTCCAGTAGAGCATGTTAAAGGGGTGCTGATCTTTAGAGCATCATTAGTTCTATGTAGATAAAGCTTTTAAGGCTTATTTTACTGGTGGGTTGTGTAAATGCAGAGCAAAAGCACCACAGCAAATGAGTGTATAGGAAACTGTAACACAAGCCATTCTGTAAATAGGTGTATTTAGGTATCTCTCTGCTTTCCCACAATTGGACTAAGGACTTCGTAAACTTTCTTATCTTAATTACACTTTTATAAACCTGGAGTGTGTACACTGACCTCTCTTGTTATTCTTGGCTGACTGCTATGAGAGTCCTTCTATACTACGGCTACTCTGTGAAAGCTGGCACATCTGGTCCCAGACTCTCTATCCCAGCCCTAGCTTTGAACTGCGATAACACGTAAAAACCAAAATACATGTGACCTCTTACATCAATGGCTCTCACTAACACCAGACAACAGACTGGCACAAAGGTTGCATGTTTCTGTGTAAGGAAGAAATCAGATTATGATCCTCTTGGGATCGTAGAACAGACAAAAATAGAAGCCTTAATCAGCCAGGCAGTTTATAAACTTGGTCTGTGGGGACATGTAAATACGCTAAGCCAAAATCAAGCACTTAAACAAAAGTATTTCTTTCTCAAAGAAATTGAGAGAGCTGCAGACATTTTGCCAGTGCTCTACGAAGTTGACCGACAGAAATAATTTCTCATGCAGCTGAAATGATAGCTGTTATTAAACACCAGTTTTATTGAGAGCATTTCTCTTCAGGCTGCGATCAGACCTGGATGCTTCAGGTATCAGCCAGATTGTTTGTGGTAAGCGCAAGCAGAGATCATGGTACAAAGGGCACTTCTAGTCCACAGCTGCCCAATGCAACAGTGGCAAAACCTGCAATGCAGCACTAGGGTACAGATGTGAGAATGAGAAAGCAACTACGGAGCAGGCAAGAGGTGTAAGAAGGCCCCTACACTGATAGAAAGGACATGCTCTGGCTGCAGCTGGCACAATGATGCTCCTCGCTCTTCACCCATGTTTGAAGCAGGTCTTTCTGCCTTACTTTCCCAAATAGCTGTAAAGGGCACTCCCTCCTCTGCCTCCAGCCGGATCACTTTCAGCACTACCAACTGGCTGTTGTTCCTGTCAGGGCAGAGTGGTGTCTGGCATAGCAACCCAAGCAAAATTTCTAGGGCCCACTTTCCCACCCAGGCCAAGCTCAGAAGGGAATTACAAACCACCTCCATGTTGTCCTCATTAGCAGTGGAACAGGAGCCAGCCTGCCCCGCTAGAGTAGCATCATTCTGCTGACTGGGTATTGTTAGAGCATGGCTTTGGGCAGTGTTCCCACTCTGCCCTCTCACAGTTTTCCTGCCCCTGCATGATGGCAGCATGGCCTTATCCCCAGTTTTTCTGTCATGCAGGGATTCCTTATTTAAAGGAAAATGCTCATTCCCTCCTTAGTGCAGCCAGACAGTCTTCCAGCATGCTGCTGTGGAGCACAGTGTCTCTGTGGAACCAAATGGCTATAGTGGAGGAGTTCCCACAGAAATTCAGATAGAGCTCTGTAAGTATCCTCATTAAAGGCAAAGGTGGACATTCAATTTGCCTTTATCTCCCATAACAGGTGTTTTCAACAGACACTGGGAAGGCAATAATGGCACCAGTGGTCCTTGCTTACCTGCTGATCCCTTTGTACACAGTTGCACAGGATCCTTCACACAGCTTCTCTAGATGTACATAGGATGTGGCAGCTCCAAAGGGCATGCCTGGTCTCTGTTTCATGAAGAAATTGGTATGTTTTAGATTGCCGGGTAGAACAAGAAGCTACTAGCATGTCATTCAGTAATGAAATTAATAGCTGGAATAATCACAGGGTGAAATATCTCCTGCCTGGCACTATGCATGCTGCGCACTCACCCATTTGAAGCTCTCCACAACATCCTACTCCCGGAAAGGATCAGTGTGACTCCAAGGCCTCTGCATCCTGGACCTCCAACTCCAGCGGGTGTGAAGCTGCCGGGGCTGCTGTGAGGGTAAGAGGAAGGGGTGCAGTGGTTACATCCAACAGTTGGCACAGGAAAAGAAGGCAGATTGTACCACTGGCAACCCACCATGTTACTGAAGTGTTTCGTTTCTCCCTGACTGCACTGGCTTTGAGCACTGCACATCATTTTCATCTCCCTCCCCACCAGTCACAGATCTCCAGTACGGTTTCTCAGCTCCATTTGTAAGGGAAACAACTACCTGTATGTTCCTGTCTTGGTAAATGGTAGCGATCACCCTGAGAACAAAGATAAAACTGCCTTAATTGCAGAGGACACTTTTACCAGTAACATTCTAAATGTGTGTTATTCTTTCTTACCCTTGATTTATTCATCTCTAGATAGCAATCTCTTAGGACACAGACTAAAAACCAAATGCAGGAGTGAAATTTCAGGAAATCTAAATTTATGCCTTCTTCTCTTCCTTGACACCCTCCTCCCTGCACTGTTCTAATTTACACAGTGTGCTAATTTGGCACATACAGCATAACAGTGCCACGAACAATACAACTATAAAAATAGTAGTAATGAATGGCAGGCAAGCTGCAAGCTCCTCCTGAGCAGCCACATTGGCTGGGTGCGTGCATTATCATTTGACTCAAATATAACAGGATTTGTAATCTATGGCATGCTGCCTCTTCCAGAACTGTACATTGTTGGCTCCCTCCCTGTTTTACAGTCCCTCACTGGCATAGAACTTGCTGGAGTGCCATCTTCTCCCTGTTCATCACATCAAAGGCGTTTATTGTCATCTAAGGCACAGAGTCCTCCTTCAGTAGCTTCTTAAACCTGAAGCTGCAAAGTTTGATACTGTCTGGTTACATGCAAATGTGAATGTATTGCAGTCCCACAAGCAGAAGAACCCAGGCTTAATGTATCTCAATGCAGAATAATCACCCTGTGATATTAAATAGCTCTGCTGTAGAGACTGCTTCTGTGTGCTGAGGGCCTGTGATATGCTGGGAGCCCCTTCTCTCTGAACAGCAGCTGCAGCCTCCTGTTCTGACAGCACTTACACACAACAGGTCTCCCATGTGGTCCTGTTTCAGTTCAAATGTACCTATTTTTCTCTCCTTTGCTCCTCCTCATCCCTCTGTCTGTAATAAGAGTCCATATGTCTTGTATGAGGTCTCTGCTTCAAGCAGTCTTGTGATTTCTGCAGTTTTTCTTTGGAAGTCCAACATTCAGTGAGCCAGATTCACCCCTGGAGTAGCTCTATTGATTTCAGGTCATTTGGCATGTGTGCTCCATAAACAGACAACGTTTTTTATACCTAAAGATGGAGAAATAAGTAGTAAATTCAAACTTTCTGTGCTTTCAAATTTATTTCACTTAAACAGCTCTCAGTATAATATGTTAGGTAATGAAGTGATAGGTTTCGTACAGGAACAGACCTTGATTTCCCTCCATGTCTGTAGCAGTTACTATTCTAGGCTTTAGGCTTTAGCCATTAGGCTTTAAGTTGAGCTATCTGAGCAGTGTGGCTGAGCTGTGGTTTCTCCAGGAGCTGAGCATTGACCTTGCTTTGGTATTTATGTTCTTAACCACGATGTGGTGGCAATGTCAGCTTCAGGAGCTGTCTGTCCCTGTTGGATCACTTGTCTAAAGGATACAGTGAGTTTCAGCTGGTAGAAAATAGGCTTGTCAAAACAGACAGACCAAACAGATTAATCCAGACTCAAAGAGATTTCATCAATTATGTGCTAAGCAGGCAACACATTGCGGTTTACACTGGATGTGGACAGACAGAAGTCCCTTTCTTTCAGTCCCCCATGAGTAGGCCTTGCTGTGCAGCTTCCTAGGACTAACACCCAACCCACACTGAGAAGATGCTAGCAAGGGGTGAGGGAGCAGGCATCATACCACAGAATTTTTATGCCAACCCCCTAGGTCCTTCAGTTTTCATTTGTATGCATGATGTGAATTCTCCCCTTTGCTTCACAGTTTTGGTGCCTAAGAATAACACTCTTTCCTTGAGCAAAAGGATATATTTTTAAGCAATAATCTCCTGGGAAGGCAGGAACAATTTCTGTGTCTCATTGCAACCGAACTACCCAGCCTTTGCATGGCAAGAAGGAGCTAACACACCTGGAAGGCTTGATTTCTCTCACATGATTTTCTTTTTCACTTCCCAGTTAGCCATAATTTGCTAAATATCTATTATCATTAACCTCAGCCTTCTATTTATTTTCCATGTATTCTTTGAGCCATCAAAATACAGCAGTAATTTGACTGTGCTCTTCAGGCATTATAAAGGCTGTCTAGATGCAGTGAACGTAGTAGTAAACTGATGCATATCCGCACAGAGTTTCTTATTCTGGAAAATACTTTTAATTGTTATCCATATTTATATAAATAGACTTTTAAAATACATCTAAGCCTAAGCAATACTTGCCTTTTGAAGAAATGGAAAAAGAAAAAAAAGTACAAAAAGAAGGCAATATAAAAAATATTAATTACATATTAATTCGTATGAAGATTGTTCATTTTAATTTTAGCTACATTTTGTGTTAGGGAGGAGAGGGGAATCACTCTGTTATGAAGAAAAGTCATACAACTTTCACCAGCTAGCAAGAGCCGGTAAATGAAGAAAGCAGGGGTAATAGCTGGTGGTTCTGGGTATTGAAAAAAGATAAAATCAAACGGAGTATTCAGTCCACTTAGCAGATGAAACGCTCTAACAGACATGTTTAACAGTTATCCATAGAAAACATAAAGAGTTTATAAAGGAGAGACTTTAGCTGTCATCAGAACCATGGTTTTAAAAGAAAGCTTCATGCAATGTAAGAAATTGTCTCCCAAGTGCAGGCATAACATAAAAAATACATTTTGCAGAGCTTTTTAAAGTAGAAACACATGTATGTGGTATGTACATACACATACAGGTGTATATATAACACTATGTACATACACATACGGGTGTATATATATAATAGTACGTATATGCACATATAGGTGTTTCCATAGTACGCATAAACATATATAAGTGTGCATGCGTGCACAATTTCTACATACACATGCAGACATCTAATGTACACCTACGTATACAGGTAAGCAACTGTTTAGCTTGTCCTGTAGGAGGGCCCTAGGTCAGCAAACTGTGGCGCAGGCCTGCTCCCATCCAAACCAGTAGCTGAACTCAGAGGGTTTATGGAGCATGAGAGGATATTACCGGGTATTGGTCAGGCTTCCTGTGTAGGTTACAGCTTTGTTCTTTATTCATGCCCCGTACAGTTTGAAATACATGTTCAGGTGACTCTCGAGGCCGGCACGGTAACGCTGGTGTCCCACAACCAGCCTCACGCCCCTGCTGTTTACCACTACCCAAAGGGCTGCCAACACCACCACCACCACCACCGGAGCGAGCTCCCGCGGTCCGGCGGGGCAACGCTCTCCGACTGTTTTGTCCCGGGCCGGGACCCGTCGTGGCGGCGGCCGGATCCCGCCTGCGCCCTGCGGCCTCTTTACTCAGTGCCGCTGCGCGCGCGGGCCGACGCCGGGATCCACCCCCCTGCACGGTGGACGCTCCTCCTGCGCCCCCGCGTGAATCAGCTGATCCGCGTCTCGGGAGCCGGCGGCGGCAGCGAGCGCGGCGCCCGGTGAGGAGGCGGCGGCGGCGGCGGCGGCGGGAGGGAGGGAGGGAGGGAGGGAGGGAGCGAGCGAGCCAGCCAGCCAGCCGCGGGAGGTGCCGGGGCAGCGCGCGTCCTGCCGGTGGGGGGGGGGGGGGGGAAGTGGAGTGGAGCTTGAATCACGTGGGGCGCCGACCTCTGCGGGGGGGGTGTGTGTGTGTGCAGGGGGTGTCGTTTTCCCGCCGTCCCCCAGAACGGCTCCGGGCTGCCGTTAGCCGCACGCGCCCCCTCAGCGGCTCCCTGCCGCTCGGCCCCTGCCTGTGGCGCCGCGTCCTCACCCCTGTCCCCGGGGAGCCGCTTCGGCGGGGCCGGTGCTGCCCTGGCTGCAGTGCAACAGGTGGGGGAAGTTTGGAGGGGTGCGAGGAGCGGCGAGGGGAAGGGCTCCTCTCCTGGAAGGACACGGGGAGCGCGGGCGGTGTGGCGGGAACCTGCCTGGCCCGAGCGCCGAGGGCCGGCCTGGCGCTCCCTGCGGCTGCCGCACCTGAGCTGTAGGCAGGAGGTGGTGTGCTGCGGTGCTGCGATGCTCATGAGGGAGCAGGCCCCTGCTCGGCATGGGACTGGGCATGAGTAAGAGGCTCAGGAGCTCTGACTGAAGGTGCTGGCTATCTGACTCTTAAGAGGCTGATGGAGCAGAGAAGTTTATGCAGGTTCCTAAAGGACTCTTCCCTCTTGATGGTAGTTTTTAAGGCATACTTTAAACAGTATGCCCTTTATTGCATTACACTTTTGTTTCAGAGCCCTTTCTCTTTGCATGATTTGTTTGCTCGGGAGTAAATGCTGTTTCAACTTTCAGAATCTGTTGAAGAATGGTACTGGCGTGGGTGCAGTATGGTGTACAGATGACATAGCATGCTGTCACTCTCACAGACCTCTTTCAGCGCAAAAAATACTGTGGTGAGACGCTGAGGAGCAACTAGAGTAGTCATAGAGAATTGGTAGTTCATCACTGCTGTTGTAGGGCAGCAACTTATGTGAATTTGCTGTACTTACCTTCCTTAAGCTTCTGTGGAGTTAACTGTTCAGAGAAGGGGAAGCACCTGAACCTGTGCTGAATTAAGAAGGTGTCATTTGAAGAGGAGAGAGGAGAAAAGGGATATTCAGAAACTTTTTAAATATCTTGCGAGTTTGGTAAACTTTAAATTATTCATTCTGTGCTATAGCAATTTTCAGCTGTGCTCTTTTAGCTGATACTTGGCCCTTTGTTGTATTTCTACCCACACACACACCCCTTTACTGTTATGTCTTGTTTGTTACTATCCGTCATTCGCTGGAACCAGCATTAAAAGCTTTGAGCCCACATCTGAAGGGATTGTAGCTGTGTTTTAGTAGCAAGTTGTTTTGTTTTGTTCTGAGCAGATCTTAATCACACAGCATTAAAAATAGTGGTTGTTTAGTTGGTGCTGACCTAATCACAAGGGCTTCTTGGAGTGGTAACACATTACATGTGAACTACCATTAGCAATGATAATTGATACATATGTAGATAAGGCTGATGCTGAGAACTGTGGTTGAATTATGAAGCTTGGGGGTAACCTCCTTTGGAACCTGAGTAGGTAACCTCCTTTGGAACCTGAGTAGATAACCTTGTATAACAAACTTGCAGTCTTCGTGGTGTAGGTTATCGCTGAATAAGATGCAACAAATCTATAAGAAATGTTTGTAAACATGTGTGAAAGCTGTAGAAGTACTGTAGCATTTGTTAACTA